TAAAAAAAAATAGAAAATAATGTTGAAATTTGAAAAAAAATCGTTTTACAGAGGTTTACTGCTTCAGAGAATATCGTTATATTGAGAGGAAGATAACATTAATCCATATGCAAGTTTGGCGGGACCACGGAACATTATCGTAATAGAGGGAGTTATTGTTGTATCGGATATCGCAGTAGCGAGAGTTCACTGTATAATGTTTTTTTTTTAAATTTAATATGTTTTTGTCAGAAAAAATTGTAATTTTGTTAAGTCATGAAAAATTCTTGCAATTAGTTATGGAAAGTCATGAATTTGAAAATTTAAAATGTAGCAGATGCCTTGTGTACAGATTTTTCCATTTTCCAAGAACTAGAAAGCAGAGATGAAACATGTTTTGAAATGTTCTCTCAGTTTTGACATGTTATGTCAGTTTTGACACTTGTATTGTAAAATGTTAGCTATTTTAAACTTGCCATAATAGGCATTACTACAATGCTCAGTCCTAAGACTGGAAAAAGTCTAACAAGAAGTTATTTAATAGCATTCTCATAATTGCTTTTAAAACAACTGTCTAACTATCCAAATTTTTTGCTGTCGGGATCAGCATTGGTCTCGATTAGATCGGATAATCAACTCTTTACTGTATTAAAAAAGTAAAAGTTTTGCAAAAACACGAATTGTCTGTTTTTGTTGTATTTTTACTTTTCCAATTTTATCCCACAAGCTAGTTTTGGCATTTTTAATCATACACTCACTTTAATAATCTTATATGATTATTTGGTAGATTTTAAAAATGTTTTTTCTTTCTCCTAAAAATTACCTTATCACAAATCACACCTGATGCCTATATTTTTTTATTAATTTCATTTTCAAAATGGGTATTAAAACTATGTATTAAGGGTGGTTATTAAGGAGCACCCATTTATTTATATTTCTTATGATGTATGTTATTTTTTTTACAGATATACTCAACCCGAGATGCTTCATAGTAGTTGTGATAGTTGTCAACAATATGGGTTATCTAAAAAGCAGCTAACAGTACAGAAACTTCCTGTTGTAATTAGCTTCCATCTAAAAGTAAATTAAAAATATTTTCTAACATTTTAGTTACACCTAGTATCAGTATTTGCTATCTAATTGAGGGTCCAAAAAACCATAATTTCTTTTCATTTTAATGAAATTATTTAGAACAAGCATTTAATTTTTTTTGTTGCTAATACGTGGAATTCTGTGAATTTCAAGACCATTGATTCATAGACTTAAGCGAATCCATAATTTATATTCCGGCAAAATTTTCACGGAGTTCCACGAATCTAAAATTTAAATTTCGTTAATTTCGCAAAATCTTGTGAATGAGATATTTATTCTGCCTATACCAGCAACCTCTTTTTTTTTCTTCCCAAGTTCTCATTCACATGATAACGACACAGATTTGTTAGAGAAAAATGCAACTTCGTGAACAATGACTGACAAAAAAAATTTCATAATATTTTTGGCTAAAATTGATGAACTTCTGTGGCAAACACTGAAATATAAAATTGATTATCTGAAAAGTAATTACATAATGGCGAGCCTTTGAAAGATCGTTTGGTTAAAAATAAAATGGTGTTTTTTTTTAAACTTATATTTTAATGAATAGCAATTTTGAGGCAAATTCCGATTTATAATAGAAGAATTATTTAATCAATGTGATATATTTGCCCACAATTAGACTTAATTAAGTTTTGGATGTAATGAATAGTAATTTGGCCAAATATTTGGTGGCCGAATAGCAACATTTGTTTGAAAAAATATCACTAATAAATATTATTAACTTAGCTATATTATTGTTATGAGGTGAATGATTAAAAACTATGATGGAAATATTTAAGATTATTAGATATTAAGATAATTAGAAATATTCAAACTAAATGAAAAACTGAGTAACCGCTATTTAGAAAAAAAACTAAAGTGGTAAAGTTGAAATAGGGAAATACAAAAAATTTTCTGGAACAAAAATTATCCTTAGAACATTAAAAGAAATAGAGGCCATCAGAAACGATTTTAAAAATGCTGTGTCATAATAAAAAAACAAAAGAGAAACAAATAAAAATAGTTCTTAGTTTAGAAATGTAACTTTAATGTTGAGAATCACACTTTTCTTGGTTACCTAGGTTCAAATTCCACCCAAAAGAAACTTAGTCCAAAAATACTTATCCGAATATTTGTTATGTCCCTAATTTTTAATATATTACAACATGGAAATTTCGAATCACATAGTTCAGAAATCACTTTTTAACTCGCTTTATACCATCGTAAATCTTTGCTTCTGTCTTTTTTTTTTCCTTTTGCAATCCAATTGATTTTCTCATGGTTTTTAAGATTCTGATATAATTATGACATGCAAAATTTGAATAATCGCTTTTTTATATGCTCGGATATCGTAAATCCATTCGGCATTTCGATTGTTTCAGCGGCTATTATTGCTATAAATTTTCTCAATTTTTTTTAAAATCCCGACTGCATTGTTTATACATTATTATAATGACACGCAGAATTAAATTTGTGCATTTATTACCACTTTTTTATGCGACAATACTAGTTTTTTCGATCGACTTTTTCATAGTTATTGATACTGATTTCCTCATGGTTTTTTAAATCCCAATGTTTTCAGACAATATTGAAAATCAAGAAATTTCATTCGCATATTTGAGCAATTACATTTAGACGTACTATTTTTGCTAATACATGTGTTTTTTTAAATTTTGTTGTTAATCTGACAACTAGTAACTGAATGCAAAAAGAAGTAATATGTAATTTTGTTTTCAATATATATATATTATTCTATGCATTAAAAAGAAAATTTATTAGATAAGAAATTTTCCTTTCTCGCTTTAAATTTTATAAATGTTTCCTTTATGTCCAAAAATAAGTCTTTTATTTATCTTCTATATACAAAAAGATAAAAAAAAATTAAGTACTAAAAAAAAAACCTCACATTAAGAAAAAAGTTTCAGATAATTTCTGCTTTCAAAAATCACTCATCTTTTATAATCATTTAAACTAGACATTTTGATGAATTTTATTCATAAAACATTATAAAGTTCAGTACTATTTCGAGATTTATTTGATGTTTAAATATTCTGATTCTTCATATTTTAAAACTAGCACAAGTATTAAAAATAATCTACCTAGATGTTTTTTTTTTTTTTTTTTACCAAATTACCAAAAATAATGCACATGGTCAAGGGCGCCGGCCGAATAATATACAAGGGGATGCAACCCTCTAACAAACTAACCCCCCCCCCCCGAAAAAAAAGTTAAGAATATTCTGTTATTACATTTTGTTTTGTTATTACATATACTTTCATCTGTTAATTTTTTTCAAGATGTGTACATACACTTCTTCATTGTTAACAAGATATTTAAAAAAATGTATGAATTTCTTGTGCTTGTAAATTTTGCCATGAGAAACTATATTGATGACGCTGGCATAGCTACTGACTTTGAAACACAAATAACTACAAACAGTAGTTTCGTATACTAACGTGTTTGTGCACGCTTAACATTGATATTTATTGTGTTGATGAAGTTTTACAGTTGTGAGAAGTCAGTTTGTGTTATACACCTTTGTTAAACTAAATAACTAATAGAAAACGTAATATTATTTATATTTTATTAAATGAAATTTAAAAATATAGCTTAGATATCTGCCCAAGAAAAAAATCTTTTTTTTGACAGTTTAGATAAAAAATTACTTTCGAGTGTACGACTTATGAATAGATTTTACAAATTGACTGCATTCTGATATTTTTTGTAGAAAAAAGTAACTTTACGTAAGTATTTTTTTACAGATTTATAAATTCAATTTTTAATAGAATTTTTTTAAGTCTTCAATCAGTATTTGCAATAATGAATTTCCGAGAACTATCGTTCAGGAACACACCGTTTTATCCAGCTGTAGCGGAGGCAATCAAAATTGGCCCAACTCTTCTAGCTACTACGTGCACTATTGAATGCCCTTTTGGTGCAATGCAACGCATCAAAACATAAAATCAGTCTACAATGTCTCATGAGAGATCAATGCCTCATTAAAATTGTGCATGCTCAGTGTACTTAAGAAAAGAATCAAGGATTACTCAGAATTCATTGAAAAAGTTATAAACAGATTTGGGCAGCAAACAAGATGATTACAATTCTTGTTTTATTTAACAATTATGTATCAATAATTACTTAATTATTTGTTTTTGAATAATTTTATAACAAAATTGTTTTTCTGTTTTTTTTATAATTGTTTTAAAAAACATCCATGGTGTGCAAGTGCACCCCCTTGCCTATGGATTATACATAGGAAATTATTTTGGAGTTACAATTATTATTTTTAGATGTGTAAGATAAGTTTTAACATTTTGATTAAAGGAAATCACATACTATAACTTATAAATAAATTATTTTGCATGCATTTAATACTTTTATAGTAAAAATGTGAATTTAAAGGTTTGAAATAAAATAAAAAAATAAAATTAAAAAAAAAACCCTTTAATAGTATAGTATACTTTCAGTTATTTGATAATTTTTTGTGTTTAATTGTTTGTTCAGTTGTGTTTTTTACACCACTCTTATCTCAAATTAGTAAAATGTCAACAAAAAAAAATTGAAATACTTCTTATCTCCTTCTAGAGATGATTGCGTTTCGTTAATGTTTGCATCATATAAAAATGTTTGATATTTTACTTGACTTTGTTGTTTATCTTGATCAGGAGTTTCCAAATTGAACCTACTTGTGACACATTTAAGAGATAAAGGTCTTTACATGACTCTTCTATCCTATTATATTTATCTTTAGCATATTAATAAATGTAATATAGATATGTACAGTGCACAAAAAAAGAACCATCCTTAATAACTTTTGATCTAATAATTGGATCTTCACGATCTAAGACTTAATGGCTTGAGGGGGTGACCTCAAATATGCTAATAAATGAGTGCAGACATATTTAAGTTACAAAATCTGACAGAAAAATGCATTTTTTCTGCATAAACATACCTTTTTTCTCTACAGATTTAAATTTCTGACCCTAAAATAAAGCAAGCCGCCACAATCTGGGAAATATGGTCTCAATAGTTTGGTCCAAAGAGCGCTCCAAAGTTCTGACCCCTTAATGTTAATTTTACTTTTTGCGTATTTCGCTATATCTCAAAAACTTTTAAAGCGAATTAAAAAATTTTGCACACAAATATAAAGTTCATTTGTCCAAAGATAATTCCATTTCAAAAATAACCTTTATTAAATATTTATTTTTTTATTATTTTATTTAATAATGGTTGAAACAATTTTGAATTGTAAAGTATACAAATTTTTGCGTCCTTTTAAAGTATATAATTTTGCGTGGCAAAATTTAAAATTTGAGCAAAATCGTCGCATAATTTTGCCCAAATTATTTACTGTGCCATGTAAAATTATATTCTTTAAAATTATGCAAAACATTGTATACCTTACAATTCAAAATTTGTTTAACCATTATTAAATAAAATGATAAATATTTAATAAAGGTTATTTTTGGCATGGAATTATCTTTGGACAAACGAACTTTATAATTTTGTGCAAAAAATTTTAAATTTGCTTAAAAAGTTTTGGAGATATATCGATATACGCAAAAAGTAAAATTATTATTAAAGGGCCAAAACTTTGAAGCGCTCTCCTGATAAAATTATTGGGAACATATTTCCCAGATTGCGACGACCCCCTATATTTTGTAGGTCAGGGTGGTTTTTGCGTGCTGTACATTTCTTATTTGTAGGCCTTTTAAAGAAGTTAGTAAGAAGTAACTGATAAAAATTAAAGAATGATTAGTAAATTATATTTACAATTTTTGCAAGCACTTTAATTGTAATGAATAGAAAAACACTGGTGGGAAGAGAAGAATACTGTTCATAGAAATAAAAAGCTGCTGAGAGATAATAATAAAAAAAAAACCTAAAACATTTTGCATGAAAGGCTACAGAGACACAAACTTTGGAAACTCCTGCTTTAGGCAGTATTTTATTTTAACTAATAGAGCTAATTATTTATATAATTGAATCTCTATCTTTTTAGCGTTTAGAATTTGGCAAAAAAATTACAACTTATGTTAAATTTCCTGAATACCTCAATATGACTCCATTTGTATCATCAATACGTGGTACATCTTCTAGGACTAATGAAGAAAGTTCATTTAGTAATTCTCCTTACAATAGTAGTGATAATAAGTAAGTTATTTCAATCAATTAGAAATTTTCCTCTGTTTGATTGTTTTTTAAAAAAAATAGCTATAATATTAATTAAGAATTCTTAAACATTCTTTTTTTATTTTGATTTAATATTGTAGTTTTTATTACATATATAATTTATTCATTTAAAATGGTCTCAATGTGTTGTAATGGTATAAACAAGTTAGGTTTGTTCTTGTTGTTAAATGTTTCAACAAAAACTTATTTGTTCAGTTGTTTAGTATATCCAAACTTTAATGTTTTTTAAATATTGCAAATTTTACGCAGAATTTATAATTTTTTAGGCATAAAATAAGGCTTTTACCAGCCCAATTTGAATTTACTTTAATTTCTACAGAGTTTAAATCTGATTAAAGCTCTCAAAAACAACCTAAAAGTCCATTTTTTTAAAAAAAATGTTCTCTTATTTTACCGTATAATTTTCTTCCAATTTGTGAACATCTATTTTTTTTGTGAGTCAATGTTAAACTCTTTGTTTCATAGGCAAATTTAGAGCAGTTTTTCTGATAATTTTACTACTTCAAATCGTTATGCTTTAAACAATTAAAAATTTTGAAGCCTATGTTATTGGCATTAAATATGTTGAAATATTATAATTAGACCAAACTAATTCTGCGAAAGAATAATCTTTTACAACATTATTAAATATTGCTGTAAAAACTTTTCATTCTATGTAATTATTTTTCATTACTTAAAACTTTTACATACATTTATTTGTATTAATTTCATAGTTGAGATCTTTTATAAGCTGTATATCAAGAGAGAAATTTTTTCTTTTCTTCCAATGCCCACCTGGAGAATGACCTTGCATCATATAGGCATCTGAAGGACTGATTTATTGGCCACTCTTTCAGAAAACCATATTAGGTGGGCCAACATTGCTCCCACAATAAAGACAGATAGTACAGAGAAGGAAAGAACATCGATGCCTTGTCCGAGATTCAAACCAGAATTTTTCTGATGCAAGGTCAGTTCCCTGACCTCTACACAGATTGGTCGGCTGGCATGTGTAGGGGGCAGGGAACTGGCCTTGCACCAGAAAGGTTCTGAGAAAAAAAATTATCTTTTCTGTTTTAAATGGGGAATAAATCAAATAGAAAGAATGTAAAAATGAATGTCTTTTAGTCCCTTAACCATAATTTCATACTCGTCCATTTTTTCTCTCTCAGTGGGTGAATTTAAAAGCTCTTATATAGTCTTAATAATTTGTTCAAGTATTATATATTTTATTAAAAGGTTAGCCTATGTGTCAGTGATATTCTTTATTTCCAAATAGCTTTTGTTTGTTTGCTGTTGTTAACCACACTGGAAATAAAGAAGGTGGTCACTATATTTCATTTATTAAAATGAAGCAGAAGTGGTATAAGTGTGATGATGACATGATAACGAATGCTACCGTAAATGATGTCCTCGTGAGCGAAGGGTACAGTATCATATTTTTACTTATTATATACATATTATATACTGGACATATTATATACTGACATATTACATATTATATACTGGAATTTTCTCATCAGGAATGAGAAAATTCCAGTATATAATATGTAAAATTATATAATTTGCACATGACCCATAGATAATTCTTAGTATATAATTTGCACATGACCCATCTATAGCCAAGCATCTAGTCCTATTTTGAAGGGATTTCCTATTGAAAAGTCCTATTTGGAAGCTAAAGTTAAATTATACATGAAACAAACATAGTCATTTTAAAACTGTTCTTTAATACTTTAATGTTTGACTTACTTTTGGTTGTATGATCTTGCTAAATAGACCTTATTTCTTGTTCATTTTACAAAATAACTAAGTGAAAGTATTACAAATGTGTGGAAAAATAATTTTATAACTAGAGCAAATATTTATGTTAATTTTTATCACGTTTAAAATATTTCTCAAATTCTTTTTCTACGAAATAATTTTTCAAAATATATTAAATTTTAAAAAATGACTGGCTGAGCATTTTATATTTGTATCAAAAAGTTTCCTCAAAAAACAATTTTCTTATAGAATAAAATAGAGGGAAATTATATTTTAACAAGAAAAAGAACGGACAGAAAGACATCTCAAAGCCTTTCAATTAGTTAAATTGTATGCGAATAATATTTAACACCATTATTTACTCAACTGTATAAAATGAAGAAGTCAATGCATTATTTTTTTTAAAAAGTATTCCAGACAATGGAATTTAAGCTCATTTGAATGAATTCATACTGTTTTATCTATTTAAGAGTATCTTGAATAATCAAAGTTTATTTAATACTATACTTCACTGAAAAATAAAGATTTGATAATGTCAATTTTTTTTGTATAATAATTGGGTTTCACATTTAGTTGTGTAGTTAGTTGCATTTAACTAAAACTTAGATGGAAAATAATTTCTTAACTAAAACCTACAACTATAATCTACTTATATTTGAACCAAACATCAGATTTTGTATTGAATATTGCAGTAGAAGGTTGTTGAAATAATTCTTCACTTAAGTTGGAGTTGTTTGGGGTTGGCAATAAATAGGATTCACACCAGCAATGAGAAATGACTACCTTGGAAAGGACTCCAATAGGACTATTTTGGTATTAATTTAGTGATCCAAAAACTTAATATGGTGGACAAACTTGAAAAAAAATCGACCTTTAAAATTGCATAATTCATGTTAAAGTACACATCAAAAACTATTAATTGCCATCGTGACACCCTAAAATTAATTAGGTTCACTATCCCATAATGATTGAAGATAAGTATTTATTAAAATTAAGTGAAAGAAAGCTGAATAATATCTATAACTAGATGAGGAAAACAGAGAAAGTAATAACTAATGAAGTTTTATATTAAAAATTATCTAAAAATTATAAAATTGTAAATAAAGTCAAATCTAAAAGAGCAAAAAACAATGTTCATTAATGAACAATTATAGTGACAATACGTGAAAGCAAAGCACTGCACAACAAGTAAATTTGAAATATCAACATTTAAATAAAAAAATATCTTGTGCCAGGCTTTTCAGCTATTCCATTTGAAAAGTTCTAAAACTAAAACCTTACATATGTGTAGAATAATAATTAGTAGATTTTTTTAAGTGCATTGAGTTTGATTAAAAAAAAAACTTTTTCATTACTATTTTGTAATTTCCAAACATATTTCAGGTACACAATTCTATCACCCATGTACAATTGTTGCCATACTGGCGTGAAGTCTAGCAATAAACTTAATTTTAAAATACTAAGGAACTGATCATTAAAAGCTTGAACATCCTTAAGCTCTACATTTCTTATTTGCTTATATATCTTGAAAAACTAACCTTATACTTCTCATTTTCTACAAATTATATCTGAAATTATATTTTTACAAATTTTTTCTGCATATATCATCTTTATAAATGAAGGTTAGAGCTAACTTAGTTTGCTTTTTATAGGTACCTGTTATTCTATCACAAAGAAGTAGTCGATTACAACAAGAAGGATTGATTTTTTATAATCCCAAACCACTTGTGTTCGAAATTGTGATCTTTTTTAATAAAAATAATAGACTGACTTTTGGTAGTGACGTGGTGCATGAATCTAAGTTTTGCTCAAAACAATGTTCGGAGCTTCAAGAAAACCTTGACTTCCTCTTTTACCTTTGGCCGTGACACTTATTAAATCTTTCTTTGTTGCTCTTGTGACTAGCATGAATGTGTTGAATAAGAGGGTTTGATTACACATATGATTTTAAATATCTTGTGACAAATGACTGTATCTCAAAGATATTTAAATACTATGAGCTTTAGCTCTGTTCCTTGTGTATTATTGAATGTTTCTTTGCCAATTTATGTTTTGTAGAATAAATTCAATGTGAGCTTAGAGCACATTTTCCCATCTTGTTGACCTGAAACGTATAAATTGTCTTATTTATTCTTTTTTTTTTATCAATTCGATTAATGAATTTTTTTAAAAGAATATAAATTCCTTATAATAAAATTGTAGATGGTTATTTACAGAAACTATGTATTGTGCTTTCTAATGTACTGTATGGTGTTTTATGTTAAAATAAATTAAAGAGAAGTCGATTGCGTTATTTATTTTGCATTCATTAAAATAACTTGTTTCCTATATCTTCAGAAAGTGAAGAAATATTATGTTCTTCATAATGTTGATGCTTATTTTAAAAAACACCATTGTTAATATTAAAAACTTCAAGCCTTCACCTATCTATCTATTCTACGAAAATTCTAGCAATGGAAAAAATAAGGCTTAAAGATTAAATTTAATGTAAAATTTATCCTTTGAAAATTTTTTTAGTTAATTTCATTAGCGAAATGGAAAATTTAAAGAAAAACATTTTTGAAAACAGGTTTTCCAATTTATTTTTATACCACAAATGACTAGAAATTTTTATCAGATATGGCATGAGCGACTTCTTGAAAAATTGTGGATAAGGTAAGTAAATGAAAAAGAAACTGTCAATCAATATAAACTTCAAACATTAAAAGGTTAATATACAAAAAGACCCATGAAGAAATTTATTACCTTTAAAAATGTTCATACATAATACTGTTTAAATGTAATATAAAAGATAACAGCGAACCATTCAAATACGTTTTGAAGCAGTTATGTAATCTGTTATTTTGCGAAAAGTTTTTTCTAATTCAGGATATTCATTTATTACAGCGTGGGATATTACTTGCATAGCCCTCAATCCGTCTTGAAGCTTACCAATTTCTTCTAATCGATGCATTTCATTTCTCATAGCTCTAACATAGCTTCCATCTAAAACTTTTTGCATAAATTTTGATTCTTTCTGCTTGAAGGATAAGTTAATGACAGCCTTAAAGAAAGAAATGTATAATTAATTAAACCATTAGAAAATAAATAATTATATTTTCCACAAAAGTATGATTACACTTATTATATTTTTATAAGAATATTTCTTATTGTTTCAGTGAAAAAAATCAATAAAGTCAAATATTAGATCAGAGATTTAATAGAGTATTTTACCTCACCATCAAAGAAAAAGACGTATATTAAACAAACACCTTGATACATCTATAGTGCTGTGCAATAGAAAACTTCAATATAGAGAATTTTATATACTTGGCATTTTTGTATAATAGCAATTTTTCTTTTTTAGGAATAAATTTTGTATTATCAGTTTTTTGAAATCCTATTTTAGCATTCACAGCATTAGCAATAGGAAAAAAAATAGTTTTCAAGCCACTTTTCTTGAAATCTACTGGGAGACATTTTTTTTTTAATTGCACCGCATTGAGCCATGATGGCTTAGGAGATAGAGCTTTTGCCTATCAATGAGGAGAACTCGTTTCAAACCACAATGATGGCTGGTCGCTACGAATTCCTCATCTAGCTGGCATTCACTTACTTCAGTGGTAGATGGATCATGGGTCCAGGGAAGGTTTTCCTCTCCATGCAATGCTAATGCAGGTTAGTTCCATCAAAAAGTCCTGCATGAAGGCAAATTTCTCCCAATACTTGATCCAGGAAATCTCTTGTCTTCTGGATTGGGTTCAAAATCACAAGGCTACGGCTTTGAACATTAGTAGTCGTAAACCCAAAAATTAGGTAGATTGTTTTACTCCAAACATAAATTGTTCAGTAGGAACTTTGATTGATCTGCCATGTTAATTGCAGTTTGGGGGGAAGCACATAATAAGCAGTTATAAACTTTTTAACTTGATGTAGCTTGTTGTGAACATCAATATTGCTTGTGTTTAAGTTTATATTGAAAACACATTCATAGCAGGGCTCGAAAAAACTCAAAAATTTTACCCGTCCCCGAGGATGGCTTGTTCAACAATGTACCCGTCCTCCTTTGAAACTAACCCGTCGCTTCTAAATAAATAAAAATATAATTTTCTCTTATTTATTACAAACATTTATATAAATTGCACAATGAATTAGTAGTTACTAGGATTGCATTATACAGTAATAAAAGGAATACTAGGTTACTAATAGGAACCTAGAATTCCTTTTATAAAATAATTTAAATGACAAATGTCTAGTTATCTGGAATGTCAATTTAACCGAGGGTACTGCGTTTTTTAAATGAATCAAATATAACGTTTGCAGTTCCACAATCAAGCTAATGATTTATAGAGGTTTCTGCACAAAAATCTGAAAGGGGTTTTCCATTTAGGTAGATGTTCATAATTGCGTTTAACGCTTCTTGTTTAAGACCAGTATGTAATGTTTTTTTTTTTTGTTTTTGTAAGTTCATTGCTGAAAAGTCCCTTTCAACCGCTGCAGTACGGGACAGAGAACATCAATTCCACAATGCGCAGTATAATGTTGCTGTATTTCTAGATTAGAGGGTCATTTTAGAAGTGAGGCGCTAGACTCTTGTAAGATAACAAAAATTGAAATGTATCACCAACATTAACGGGAAAATGGCCGTCCGCGAGGACGTTGGATTCGAGAAATTCGTTGTCCGCTGGGAATTTTTGACCGCCGAGGTCGGGTGGTTTTTCGAGCCCTGATTCATAGGGTTGTGGCTTGTATTATAGCTATAAGAATGAAGTCTTGTAGCTCATATTTTCTTTTTGTGTGAAAAAACAAATATACCAGAGATTGAATTTTATAAATTTATAACCAGCCATGAAGAGCCGACCAAATTCTGAGTTTAGAACTATCAATATTCAACTCAGTAGCTTTGTAAATTTGAACAATACAGAAGACAAGGGAATTCTTGTATCAAGCATTGGAACAATTTAGCCTTTCTGGTGGACTTTTTGAAGAAATTTAACCTGCTTTTGCATAACTGGAGAGGAAACCCATAAAACCTCTCACGTTTAGCCAGATGGTAAGGGGATTTTAACCCATCTACCACTGGAGGATATTTCATGGCAACGTTGTGGTCAATGCAAACTGAAAGCAGAATTCGTATGAACCAGCAATTGCTGGATTCAAACCTGGGACACCTCATTGGGAGGCAAGCGCTGTATCCCTTGAGTCTAGATCACAATCTGAGTCAAGGTCTCATTAGGCACAACATAGTGCTCATTTCATCTGTAGGTTTTTGGAAAGTGAAGATAGACATTAGATGATCTGATCAGCTAGATCTCCAGACCTCAACTCTATAAAGCCAGTCTAGATCCTACAGAGAGAGAGAGAGAGCAATTACAACCCACAATCTCCCATAAAAAACTAAATAGTGAACCCCCTGAAAACATTGTTGTAGAAGGTGTGGGCTCAGTAGCCATTGGAATACCTCTCTTATTTCCTTCATGGTATGAGGTTTGCATATCACTGGAAATAAACTGGGAGACCATAACCACTCTTAACCTCTTTTTCTTTATTCGATTCCTTAATCACTGTTTCATACCTTTCAACTTTAATGAGTGTAATACATGATACAAACAGACTACATACATTTGTTTCTTTAAAACCTATAGCATTCTTTAACAAATTGAAAAAAGTTTTAATATTAGTGATTATAATCAAAATTAATGCTTAAATCTATGAAATATAAATTAACCTTTTGATCTCCGTTAGCTTTTTTCTAATTTAAAATGAAATAAAAAAAAATTCACAAATTACTTACCAGTCTTCTTTCCTGTTCCTTATTATGCATGTCATACTGCAATGATTTAATTTTATTCATTAGATCAGTAGTTAGAAGGAGCAAGGAATCTAATTCTTGTTTAGTAATAGACTGAGTCATTTTCAGAGATTCTATTTCTTGAAAGTATTTTTCTAGAACCTGTTGAAAATTAATGCAATAAAAAATAAATAAGGAATGTTATATATATACTATATAAAATAGTAAGTTTTTTCTGATAATGCCTTTTAGTTAAGAATCTTTAAAGCTTTCACTCAAATTCAAAAGTAAAATTTCCTGATTTTACCACAAAAACTTCAGATCTCATTTTTACTATTTACAGCATTTGTTAAGTCATTATAAATACTTTTGAAAGAGATAATTATCAAATTTTATATAAGAAACTAAATATTTCCAAGTCAGGGTTTAATTTATGCACAGTATGTAACTCAATTCAACAGATTAAAATTTTTCATAAACCACACTAACTTTATGGGTCTAAACAATGAAATTTGCATTTAAGAAATTTCTATAACTAAGCAAGAACTATAAAATATTTATATTATTTGCATGACTATTTGCTAAGATGAGTTTGTTATAAAGCTAAATTTTAAAATGTAAGCAAATCAAAATTTATTAATTTGTTTGTCGCTAGTTCTGCAGAAAATTAAAATTTTTTCTGAAAATAACAAATACTTAAATATATATTTTGTGAAATGATCGCTAAATTCCATAGAACACAAAGCCCCAGATTTCACGTTTTGCACTGTTAAGATCTTCCACTTTATTTTATTACATAGAGCTGATAAACTATAATAATAACACTTCTAGAGTTCCTTTTAACACAGAGTTTTGCCTGTCACCAACAAAAGAACAGATTTACCAGGTTATCTCATGCAAATTACTTTAAGAACATTTAATAGTATTTCCACAGATGCAATTCGGATATTCACAGATAGAAGCAAAGACCAACATGGCAAGAGTGATAGTGGTGTCCTCATTAACTCATCATCTAGTAGTCTTACTAACAAAACTAGAAGTTCGTATTATTTCTCAGTCTTCTGTTTAGAACTAATAGCAATAGAAAAAGGTCTCCAGGCTGCAGCCTTTTGTACTGCTAACAAAATAACATTTGGATTCTTACTGATAGCTGCAGCTCTATACAACATCCGAAAAACTGGCACCGTATTGGCCATAGCGCATCTATTTCAATTTTGAATTCACTAAAACAACTCTCAATCTGCCAAGATGTATATTTCCAATAGGTACCTTCACATGTTGATGTTGGAGGAAATGAGGTTACTGATGCCTTAGTTGAGGAAGGAACTAGAATAGTTTCAATATATAAAATATTTACAATGGGTACCTTCATGTGTTGATGTTGGAGGAAATGAGGTTACTGATGCCTTAGTTGAGGAAGGAACTAGAATAGCTTCAATATATAGAATATTTACAATGGGTACCTTCACATGTTGATGTTGGAGGAAATGAGGTTACTGATGCCTTAGTTGAGGAAGGAACTAGAATAGTTTCAATATATAAAATATTTACAATGGGTACCTTCATGTGTTGATGTTGGGGGAAATGAGGTTACTGATGCCTTAGCTGTGGATGGAACTAGAATAGCTTCAATATATAGAATATTTCCAATGGGTACCTTCACATGATGTAGTGACGGAAATGAGGTTACTCATGCCTTAGCTAAGGAAGGAACTAGAATAGTTTCTACTTGCATACTAACTTTTCTGGAAATCTACTCAAGAGTAAAATCTGCTGGTGTTTCTTATTGGCGCTCTCCTCTGGTACACAATTGGAATAGTGGCAAACAACCTGGAGATGCTCTGACATTTGAGGATGGCCGTGCACTGCCAAGACTATTGTGTGAGTACTTAAAATGTCTTAGATTTGATTACTGAAAAAAGATCTTTCCCATCTGTGGAAAATGTAATCCCTAAAATCCTACATCTGATCATCTCCTCTCCTGCTTGGGACTTGAGAGGGAAGATCTGAGACCACTTCTAGTTTTGTACTTTCTGAATGTATACGGTCTCATGAAGCTGGTCTAGCCTATGGGCTAGATTAGTTAAAATAAGCAACAACAAGAACTATAACAATATTTCGAAAACATTATTATAAAAAATAATAATAAATAGCTCAGGAGAGATCTAGAATTGATTCAAGAAATCAGAATTTAATATAGTTTCTTATTGAATAATTTATAATCTTATCGAATAACTTAGTAAAGTTTCTTATTGAATAGAGATGTCCTAAGACATGATGCTCATTACTTTAACAGTGCCACAATATGCCATTTCTATCCTTAAGTTTCTAAGAAAATGATCTGATGATTTTTTAATTAAGTCATATTATAACAGTATCATACATTTAAGAACCAAAAAGAAATATAAATTAATTTAATCATAATAATTACAAATGTTGCCTAATTAGTGAAGAGTACTGAAATGTTAACATCCAAGAAACAATTTAAAGAAATTTTTTTTTTAAAAAAGTTGCTAATCATCAATGACTATCCCAATTTGCTTACACATCGAACTTCAACCACTTATTAAAGAATTTTTATATTTAAAAATTGCAATAGATTTTAGAATAATTTAATTTTAATCTCTCGTTAATTTCAAGGTTGGTGATTTTGGAAGGTTTTTTTAAATAAAAATTAATGCTACTTGAAAGAAAATTAAATTTCTTTGATATCTAGGAACCCTAGATTTTTTGTGTGGAAGTTATGATAAACACAGGAATGGTTGGAATGTTTAGAGATAGGTAAATAGATTTTTTTTAATTGTTTCAAAACGAAAATAATTCTTTAATTTGCAAAAGGGTTAAATAGGCATATGCCAAGCCAATTATCTTGGTCTTTCAAAGAAATCACAAATACAAAATATATTTCACAATTGAATTTTTTTTCTTCTTATTTTGGTCACAATAACAAAACATAATTATTGATTTCCCGTGTCCTTTAATACATGAAAATCAAGGGGGTGCAGTTTATATCCATGAAAGCTGATTCTGAGACAAAGAAATTTCAAGGTTTGAGAATTTTTTAGGATCAAGCATTCAATTGAAATCGTAAAAATATACATAGGTGTCAAAAGCATTTATTTACATCCTCTTTAAAGTTTCAAAACACAATTTACAACATTTGATGCTGAGGAAAAATAAAATTTTAAGATTGGGTTGGATAAGAACCAACTTTTCTTCAAAATTTCTCCTCAATCAATACTTCCTCCCTAGTCTTTCCAGTTTTCTTCACCATTCTTTGTTCTTTTTTTTTTCTTTTTTTCTACAAGGGCAGGAGCCATTTTTTTTTCTAGCAAGGCCTATCTTCAGTATGTAATAACTCTCAGGAAGAACTGATTTTCCACATTATAGATTTCTCAAAACTTGGTAATCCTCAAGATGCACAAGATAGAAATCCAATTGACATTTTCATGAAAAATTTGTTTAAACCTTTTTTTCCCTTCAAAAAAAATAGTTTTTTTTCTTTCTTTTTTCTAAATGTTTTCTTGTACGTAAAATGATCTAAAAGCTCCCAATATATCTCGTGATGGGCTAATAACAAATAAAATTTAATTGTTGCAGCTATATTACTGAAAGTTAAAACAAATATTAGAGACTGTGATTTTAATTTTTTATTTTTAATACAACAGGAGGAGTGAATTTAGATTAGCATCTTAGAATAATAAAAATAATAATTAGTAGTAGCTAATTTTGATTCCTAATTGTCAAATATCTATAAAGCAAATGATTTTAGATTGTATGTGAAATCAATTAACAATAATAATGATAAAATTCTACTCATCTTATCCTATTTCCAACTATCCTTAAATTCTCTTCTTCATTTTAATTTACAATATCAGTAACAAATCACACTAGTTTTAGAAATAGTTAGAATTAAGCTTTACAGACATTTGAGAAAATCAAATTCCATTCAATAGCACATATGAAATGCTGAGTAGAAAAAGGAATTAAGTAAAAAGTTTAAGTGAAGTTTTTTTTAAAAAAATTCAAAATTTCTCAGGAAAATATCCTATTTTTTAAATTTAATTTCTCAAAATTCATTTATATTGCCAAGTCATGGAAATTGGTCATGGAATTTCAGTGAAGGAAAGTACTAAATGACGGTGGGATGTTTTTGGAGAGGCAGAAAGTTAATAGTGCAACTGACAAAAAACAGTCAAAGACAACAGTTGAAGGTCTCTAATTTGGCTGATTGCAAATAAGAAATGAAGGTGAGGAATAATTTTTATTTCCTCATACTAAAAAAAAACCATATAAAAACTTGAAATTCGATTAAAATGCCACTATGAATCCTCATCCTTAGCTATTCACATACAAAATTTTTTATTTCCTCACATATATCGAAAAGATCAACCTAAAAACAATGAAGACTAAAGGTAAACTAAAAAAACTTGAAAGCTAATTCCCTAAAATGCAACTTAGCAACTTTGCCCACTCAGCTTTCCATATAAAAAAATTTTTCCCCTCACATACCATGCAAAAAAAAAAAAAAAAAAAAAGCAATTCCCACAAATTCATTAAAATGCCACACAAATCTTCTTCCACTCAGCTCTTCATATACAATTTAATATATATTAGTTTAACATATTACTTTTTTTTCTTCCTGGACTTTTTTCAGGGTGTATTTAATCCTCTTCTTTACATAATCAGGAGTTATTTTCCTTTTTCCAAAAACTGATTGCTTGTCTGCTTCAATATATAAGTTAGTATAAGTGTAAACTGCTCTTCGCATTTCTAGAATCAGTTTCTCTTGTTCTTTTTTAATCTGCTCTTCTTTAACCTAGAGAGAGAGAGAGAGCATTGATTGAATAAATATTTTAAAAATTATAAATTTAGCATTAAAAAAAGGTAAAACTTTTGGCAAAATTTGAATTTTGAAAACTTGGTCAATAAAATGTAAAATATTGTCAACTAAAAAAAATAAAGCCATCAGGACAGTCTCAGTGTTATTTAAGTATTATTTATTTTCAAGCAATATTTTGGCCTGGATCATATAATTGAATGCCATACAATTTTTCAATTTTTAAGACAATGAGTCTAGAACCAAACTACATTTTGAGGAAGAAATTGAGTTCTGCAAAAATAAACTTCAGCCACATTTAAGCAAAACTGCTATTGAAAATTTAAACTAAAAAGAGTGTAACAGCAAAACCATAGATGAAATTCACCTGAAATGATATTTTAAAAATATCCCAATACTTTAAATTTAAGGATCTCTAAAAAAATACAATAAAAGTATTAAAAGCAATTCATTTTCTCATTTGTAAATATAAGTAACGCTTCACGGCAAGGAGTTAAGTTTAACTTTTATAATGATTTTATTACTATGTATAAGGTAAATTGTAAATAGCACTAACTTCATGTCAAAAGAAATAAACTGTTGTAAGACAGATATTTATTATTAACTCCTTCAATATTATATGTAATTTTTAATGCTATCCTTAAGAAGTTTTAATAACATTTATGAAAATATTAATGTAGTTTAATAATTACCTTTGCAGACCATCATGAAGTTTTAATGCTACTATACACCTTTAACTTAATATTAAATAATATGATAAGGATATACAAATTAGTCAAAAACAAGTGTTTTAAAAGAAAAGCCTTTCTTTGCAAAATAAAACTGATTGTTCAAATCAGATTTCACTAGTTTAACGTTTTCATTGCAGCAATGGTACGCCTTTGTCCCACCCTCTGCGAATTCTTTAAAAATATGTTTGTAAATTTATACTGAACATACTACAAATAAAACAAATTAATTTAGAAAATTATTATCTCGCTTTTAGCACATAGCAAATGTTCTTGGAAGACTTGTTATTTCATCCATTCTGATGAAAGAACTAATTATCTTAATAACAGTGATAGATACATATCGACATATATTTCTGTTATTACATACAAAAAAAAANATATATATATGAAAATATCAAATTCAATTATAAGAACTAAGAAAGATATATTTGTATTTAATTGTGAAACACAATTTTTAAAATGACTAAATTTTGTGAATGAGTGTACTGTTTACATTTTAACATTTTATTGAATATTTTTCACAAAGATGTTATAGTAATGTTTTTAAGCTTTTATAGAAATTACAGATTTCAAAATAAAATAAACAAAATGGCAGCTACAGAAAAAAAAATTCTAAAACTATTAAGTTTGCAATATCATTTACATTGTAAATAACAATTACATTAGAAAGAAAATTGAAAAGAAAAGAAAGTCAAAACGCAAGGAAAGCAGCATTAATTATAAGTTAATAGTAGATGTTTATAAATATACGCACATAAATATCTTATGACCACAAATACAATGCAAGTTTTATTTTTAAACAAAATATACTTATAAAAAAAATATTATACAAAAAAATTTCATTTACCTGTAAGCGTCTAATTTCACTTTTTAAGAGGTAAAATTCACTAAGATGTTCGTCCGATTTTAAAATTTTTCTGGTTTCATCAGCCAAATGAATTCTACCTTCCCAATACACAATGCATTGTCTAAAGAGAAATATAAAAAAATTTTAGACTACTGCCTTCTAACATACAATTTTTATATCCTAAATTTCAAACATATTTAAGAATGGCTTAGCAACAAGATAATTATTCTGGTTAACTTTACAAGTAATAATTTTTTTAAAAAAAGAAATGAGATAAAAAAAATCAGATTATAAACACATTAATAGTAAATTAAATCTTAAAATGAAAGCTTTCAAACACTGGAAAAAATTTCAAATTATTGTAAATAGAAAGAGATAATTTTCATAAAAGATTTTAATAATTGGTATTTTTACTTTTGAACTTCATTAACTTATTTTGGTACAAAGGAATTATTTTTTGTATGTATCTAAAATGGAATAGCTATTGAATTATCAATCTGAAAACTTTATTTTATGAAATAAAATAAATTTAAGTTACCATATGGGTAATAAAAATAAAAAAAACTTATCCTTTTTGTATGCATACTTAGCAATGATAACATTACATACAAAATAATATAATTTAGGATGATATCTAAATATATAAATAAAGTAGTTTATAATAAACATACTGAGTTTTTAATAGTTTCCTAAACCGTTTCTTCTTCTTTCGTCTTAAAATTCTCAATTCATTTTGCTTATCCACGTATCGGAATTCAGCATCCTGCAAAAGTCAGAATATTTATACCAAGCATTATCTAAAGATAATCAACAAAATGATCAAGTTAATTAAATAAAATAAAATGGTAAAAACAAAAAAAGTAAGTTAGAATACACTAAAACAAAATATTTTAAAGAAATAAGACTGGAACTTTTACTTAGTGAGATTATTCAGTTATCATAGATCAAAGGGGCAAAATTTTGAGCATTTTTAAAGTCTAAATATTATTAATTTTTCGAGTGCATATCAATGGTTAGTGAAATTTTCAAATACTTAGATCAGGTGTTTGTGATTAGTCAGTTATCATAGAGCAAGGTGGCAAAAGTTTAAGCATTTTTACAGTCTAAATCTTATTAATTATCTAGTGCAAATTAACGCTAAGAAAATCACGTAAGTGTGATTATTTAGTTATCATAGAGCAAATTGGCAACACTTAAACACATTTACAGTCTAAATATTATTCAGTAATTTATCTAATGCATATTAAAAATTTGTGAGATTTGCAAAAGCTTAGAAGATCAGGTAATCTGTTCAAGTAGATAAAATTCATTTCATTCTTTATCTAACTCCCTTCCAACCATTTCTGCCTTCACTGGCTTTAATCCGTAATCTACTTATTTTTATTATTTTTTAATAACTGTCGTTGAACAGCCTAACAAATTTTCAGGTTATGGCTACCAATGTTCAACTCCGTAGCTTTGTAATTTTGAACCCAATCCAGAAGACAAGGGCACTCCTGGATCAAGTATTAGGATAAATTTGCCTTCAAGGAAGACTTTATGATGGAACTAACCTGCATTTGCGTTACATAGAGAGGAAGAACACAAGAACCTCCCATGGTTAGCCTGATGGCAAGGGGATTCTAACCCATAATCGGTCTACCAATGAGGATATTTTACGTCAGCACCGTGGTCGGTGCTAGCCGGATGCGGAATTCGAATAAACCAGTCTTCGCCAGGATTCAAACCCGGTTCATCTCATTGGAATGTGAGCGCTCTATCCCCATTGCCACCACGGCTCTAATCCCAATACTTAACAGAAATGAGTCACCACAATCAACAATAAGCCAATAGTTTAGAATCATAAAAAAAAAAAAAACTCAGCCAGATTTCACTTTTAACATAAATCGAGTATTTAAGCAAGCATAATGAAGAGTTGGAAGCTAAAAGGCCACTGGGTCATGCAGTATAATAATATTATATTAAGAGATGAATGAAATCCAGTTTCTTTACAAAAATACATCTATTTAAAAAAAAATCGTTGCAGTTAGTAAATTTATTTAATGTAAGAAAAAAAATTATGCACCTTCAAAGTTTTAATGAAATCAAATTTAGAGAGCTCTGAAGTTTGGAGGAGACTTTCTTGGAGATCTTTCCTTTCTTTCAGTAAACTATTGATATGAACAATTTCATGTCCAATACTTTCTATTCTTATCATTGCTTCTTTGATGTCTTTTTCTTCTTTAATTATATCAGCTAATAACAGAAACATTTAAGCTTTTACTAATTTAATATAATTAAAACTATTTCATCAAGAAACTTACAACTGTTGGCATTTAAAAATTTACAGCTATAGAATAAAAAAATTAGATAACCCAAGATGAAATATATATGAACACAATATAGTAAGTTTAATATACTGTGCATAAGTTGCAAGTACATAGAACCCATAAAATAACTTTAAAAATATTAAAAAATTTTTAAAAAAATTGAATAAAAATTAAAATAAAAATAGTTGAAAAATAAAATAAGGAAAAGATAAAATCTTGTAATAAACTCACATAATTATATCCGCAAAAAAGAGTGCTTTCTAATATTTATTACTATAATTGTAATGATATATTTTTCTATCGTATTGATACATTTTGCTTTGGTTATATTAATACGATGCTATAAAAGTAATCTCTTTTGAGGACATAATTGTATGAGCTGTGATGAGGATATATCTTTTCCTTTATTTTGCTTTCCAACTTTTTTTTAAAAAATTTTGAAATTTTTTTTATATTTAATTTTATAACTTTTTCTCTCATTAAAATATTTAAATAATTTCTCCATGTTTTCTTTGTATTTTTAACTTTCCCTTTTTTTTGTTTACAAGCTATTGAGCTTGGTATTATTATGATAATTCAAATTTAGTGATCGGGAGTAGTGAACTACAAGCAGTGAAATTGCTGAAGTAGTATACTTTTTTCGTAGTTTGTTGTGTAGTGTGCTATATTTTTAAAAAAGTAGCATAATTAGATGTATGATACAGAAAAAAAGTAGTTGTAGTGATTCCTGGGAACTACTATTAATGTTAGTTTAAAAAAGAAACATGGTTCTAATGCAGCTGATTTTTCAAATTTAATGGGTACAAATAAATTTGATGGGTTTGCGAGTCCATCAATAAATGCAACAAAAATGACCCTATGACTGATGCTGAGCATTGAGAGAAATTATGTATTTAAAATCACATATAACTAATATTTAGGAAATTATTATGCCATCACGAAAAATAGTTAATTAATCAGGATCACACTTTCAAATGTGAATGCACACTTGTTAAACATTGATGCTATTTCTAAAGAAAAGGAACACATTTTTGATGTATTTAATTTCTTAAAGAATAAAACAGCATTGAACAATTTTAAATAAAATATAAAAGAGCATTGAACAATTTCAAAATTGCAAGTATTTGATAATTTCACATTTCTTAAATTAAATATTCACTGTTGATAAGACATAAAAAAATTGAAGGTTTTAATTAACAAATTCGAAAAAAAAATTTGGAATAACAAATTTGCTCATGTAAACATGGATAATTATTTCTAAATTATTTTCTTGTATTTAATGGAAGGAAATTTCCTATTCAAAACTATTTGGAACATAGGTTTAAATTAAGTTCTCCAGAAAAGTTTGTCTCTTTGCAGTAGCTACTGTAGTTCCAAAGTAGTTTGTAGTCACTACATTTAAAAAAAAGTAGTTATAATTAGCCATATTTGTAACAAAATTGTAGTAAACTACAAAAATAATATAGCTTTTCCGATCACTGTTCAAATTATTTTATAAATTTCATTTTTATTTGTAATTTATTACTTCATTTATTTACCTAATATTACTAGTCACTTAAAAATAACTTTGCTCTATGTCAAAAGTAACATTAGAAAGATTTCTCGATATAAGGGTTAAATATAAATTTTGTATGCATATCAACAATGCATTGTAGTTAAATCGTTAAATAAATAGTTACATTTTTTTCAAACAAAACCAATTTTAAAACCATTATTTTTATGGAATGATAAATATTACAAAATATTGTAAAAATATATCAATATACTGTATAAGTATGTATATTGATATCAAGGGACTGTATGCAACTATTCAATAATATATTACAGAGAATTGATTGAATATTTAAAAATTAAATATTCAGTCCATTCTTTACAAAAAAGAAAAAAAAATTTCAAGTAAAATAATTGTGTCAGATATCAACCTTTAGATCACGGATAATCAATTAAGTTTTTGAATTAATGATGTCAAATTTCATAAAATAAGCATCAATTCCCAATATAAAATCAATTGCTTGTTGGCACAAGCTGTTGACAATAAATATGTTTATTAAAAGAGGAACTAACCTTCTAACTGTATTTTCTTGCCTTCTAATATAGCAATTTTTTTACTGTAAAATTCATTTTCCTCTGACTTAATTGAACTTTGTTTATTTAAAACAAATAACTGCTGCTGGCATCGTAAATATTCTTCTTCCAAATTTCTCTTTCCTTGCTCTGCAATAGTTATTTCTTTTCTTAGGTTTGCCAGTTCTCTTTCATATGGTCCAAGTTCTTGGCCCTGAAACATTTGTAAATAAATAAAATATTAGTTTCACATTAATGAAGAAAGATGAGGAAAGGTAAATAATGATGATATTAACAATATTTAAATCAGCACTTTTAGGATTACAAGAGTTACTAGTTACAAGAGTTTATCAATGTGTAAAGAAAGTTTTTCAGTTTATCTAATCTCTGCATATAACCATGTCATCACAACCATCATGACCAAACATTAATAAGGAACCAAAATTAATTTACACAAAAAGCTAAAATTTAAAAAAAATAAATTAATACTAGCCTATTAAATATTAAGTTGAACTGCTCATATAGTTACACACAAGAAAAAATTTGAACCATGAAAATCCACGACCTTTTAGATTTACTGTTAACATTCAAATTCTTTTTTTTTTTAAATATAGATCAGGAAATTTAATTATGTTCCAATGGAGCTTTTACTGAAAGTAAACTATAACTTATGATAAATTACAAACTTTTATCTGAAATGGCTAATTATTGTTACTGTGAATTTCAAGAGACATTATTTGATTTAAAAAAATGGATTTTCCTTACAAGTGGATATTCTAAATTTTTCTTAGCTTTTTAATCAAGTTCTCCTACTTATTTTTAAATATTAAAGTTAACTATAGAGAAAAAGGTGAAAATCTGGCATAAACATTTTAAAAGTTGTATACATCTCTTTTATTTAATTTTCTTTTATTTTGAATGAATGTCTTTTTAATTCAACGTCAACTAATTAATTAAAAGTCAAAAGTAATTAAAAGTCAACTAAGATCGAATTTTATTAGCCGAAAAACAAAACTAAAATTATATAAGACACTCATTCTGCCTGTCTTGCTATACGGAAACGAAACCTGGACTTTAAACCTTGACGTCCAACGCCTGATAGAAACGTTTGAAAGAAAGATACTTAGAACTATCTTTGGTGCTATACCAGAGGGGGGATGTTGGCGAACATGGTACAACTTTGAACTTTATGGGCTCTATAAACATCCTCAAATTATGCAGATAATCCGAAGCAACTGACTAAGATGGCTCAGCCATATATGGAGAGGCTCTGAAGATAGTCCTGTAAAAATTGCCACCTTCAAGAACCCTCAGGGGTCCCGCTCTAGAGGTAGACCACCTACTCGATGGCTCAAAGACACCGAAAACGACCTCAAAGTCCTAAAACTTAAGAACTGGAGGGGAGTTGCCATGGACAGAGGGAGCTGGAGAAGGCGTGCTGTTGAGGCAGCCAAGGCCTGCAAAGGGCTGTTGCGCTCCTGAAGAAGAAGAAGTCTTTTTAATTATAGAAAATATAATGATAACTATTAGAAATGTGTTACTGAGATATTAAAGTATGCTTTACAAGATCTTAAATCAATTACAACAAATAAAGAAATTTCGTTAAAATTGGTCTGTAACTTTTAAAGATATTTGTGTCAGAAATTTTCCCTTCCTCCATTAGATAAAAATTATACTAGAAAAAAAAAGATAATAAAAGAGGAAAAATTAACTAAATAATTAGATTTTCATACAGCATTAGTACATATTATATAGTTTTTCATTTATCTACTGAAAATCATAAAAAAAATTTTAAAAAATTACACCAGCTTCACTAATCATTTCTTTCAGTTTGTTATCAAGCTCACGAATTTCACCACGCTTCACGTCAATTTTCTCTTGGCTCTTTAAGGCACTTTCTTCACTCTTGTCCAACAAAAGAGCTCTTTCTTTTCTTTCCTGTAACAGTTCCTCTAATTTATTTTCCATATTACTAATATAAGTTCTCAGATTGTCAAGTTTCAACAAGAGTTTCTCTCTTTCATTTTCCTTCTTAGCACCTTTTTCTTCCTGAAATTCAATAAAATGATTTAGGTAGAAAAAGGAAAGTATAGTTTTAATTCGAAATTTAACAGAAATCAGAATTAACAAAAATAAAGTATGATATTCCTAAAATATGATAAGGAACTTGAGTTCATTTTATTTTATAATTTTGTAAAAAGGTTTTTTTTTATTTTATTTTAAATTTAGTAAAAATCAGAATTAACAAAAATAAATTATGATATTCCTAAAATATAAGCAGCTTGAGTTTTTTATTTTATTTTATAACCATCGTTAAACAGCCGTAGTTTATATAGCATAAAAAAAAAGAAAGATTGTATCTTAATCCATAATGCATTATTTAATACAAAACCACAACCAAAATAAAGTGAAAAGTATGAGGTCTAAAGACCCAATAGGTTATAATGAAATCTGTTTATCTTTTAAACTTTAATATAGCTTTTGCAAATAGAATAAGCATGTTAAGGTTGGGTGATTTCCCCCACCTTTACCATAATATCCACAAATCTTGCTTTTCCCATGCACCAGAAGATTATTATAATAATAATACAGTCAAACTCGCTTAAAATGAGTCCTGATTTAATATGAAGCAAGATTTAACCACAACAAAAGAAGTACATAATTGGTAAAATTTTAATTTTGAATGAGCACAGCTCGCTTTTAATGCACAAACATGAGTTATTTTGTGACTGAGAAAAAAGTTGCAGATTCTGAAAATTTGAAAATAAGTTGAGAAAATATTTAAAGTTACATAGCTATTAACGCTAATGCTATCACTTTCAATATACATACCTAGTTCTGAGGATATTGTAACTAAAATTGAAATTCAAACAGATGAAAAAATAATGAAAGCAATGCTGACAGCAACGGATGTGAGGTATTTCATGCTAATTCAACCTGACGTACACAATCACTTTTGAATGAGCAGAAAAACTTTTAAACTTTTTCTGATTGCAAGCATGCAAATAACAATGTTTTTTGGGGATACGAATCTTATTCAGACAATAACACAACAAAGAGGTAATAAGAGAATTTTAAGCAATTAACTAACTTTTGTTTGTTCTGCACAGAAATGAAAAATAATAAAAAACAGTACAAATATAATTGAATAAGTACATATGAACTTTTACGATTTTTTTCGCTAGCATGTTTTTTTACGAGCACTCGATTATAACGAGTTAATATTGTGGTCCCTTCATGCTCTTCATAAACGAGTTCAACTCCATTTCAATAATATACAGTTATGAGTTATAGATACTATTTAACTGTTGAGTGAATAAAAAAAGAGTAGCATTGTTGCATGTCGCATTGTTACTAAGATGAGGAAGTTAATAAATGTGATCTTCAGATGAGAATTTTAAGTACAAAGAGTAAAACAAAAAGTATAAATAAAAAAATTGTACAATATATGCTAAGTAGATACTAATGAGCATGATAACAATCAGAATATTATTATTTTAAATTTAGCAAAAGTTAAATAAACCCATGGCATTGGATTTTTTTTTTAAAAAAATTAAACAATAATGTGATCTAAGAAAATAAACTTTTAAAAAATATTTTTTAATTATTTTCACAATTAAAAATCATAACATAGAAATGAACACTAATGAATATTGTAAAAACTTACATTCAAGTGAATAAAATTTCTGGTATCCTTGATTAGTTTTTCAGTATATTTAGATGCCTTTGTAATAGTCATTTTTTCATGTAACATATCCATGTGTTTCTTTTCCAGATTAGTTTGAGAAGCATATATTTTTTGAAGTTCTTTTTCCTTTGCCTCAAGATCCTTCTCTTTCACACTTTTACTCTAAAAAATAAGGGCACACATAAATATAAAAACAATTTATTCAATAAACGAAAGATAAATTCCTGTGAATATGTCACCGTAATCATTAAATTCAATTGAAATTATGATTTCAAACTTTTTTGAACATTTGATTTGCATTAAATAAGAAAAAGCCTTTTTTAATGTAACTAAAAATAAGACTTATTTTTTTAAAAAATAACATCGTAGAACGCAACAAAATAAAATACATTAAATAAGCTTCATATCATTTTGTAAAAGAAATATTACAAAAAGTAATAAATTTTCCATTGGCAAATAAAAGTTTAGGGTTTTTTAAAACAAACATGACAGCTTTAACTATTCGGTAATTTGAGTTAATATAAATATTACTCATGGTGGCTTTTTAAAGCCTAGTTTTGCAATATTCAACATTCACAACAATATAAACATTCTTATTACAACAAAAAAAGTGAGTATTTTAAAGTTGTGCAAAAATCAGAGACTATATTTAACATACTCTTTTAAGACAATATAGCTGCAGAGTTTCCCCATATTTCCCAATAGCTGACTACTATCTTACTTAAAAAAAATATTTTATCGTATGAAAAAAATATAGTAAAATAATATTATAAAAGACATATATTTAATTTCAAAAAATATATAAAAAGATAAAATTAATCCCAACATATATATATATGATCCTTATATTATATTGTGCCGTGCCTTAAGACTGTGCTAGTGCCAAGAATAAATAATATACTTGCATCCAATAGAATTTTTAGTTCTTGTTCTGATATTTCTACGGTTTGATCCAAAACAGATACATTTTCCGCAAGATCATTTTCACGCTCAACTATCTCATTGAGATCTCTTTGAACATTTCCTATATCTGATTCCCTAAATTGCAACTGCAAAACTAGTTGCTCATTTCGTTCGAGTTCTTTTCTTAATAGTTTTTTGTATGCTATAATGTCCATATTAAGAGTTCTAGAATCTTCTTCAAAATGCCTATGAACAGTGAACAATATTTATAAAAAAAGACAAAACAATGAGTTCAAGTAAAGAAAAAAATAAACTTTATATGTATATAAGCTTATATAGTATTAAAAAAGCAGAAAATGTCACATAAAAAGTTAAGCCATTGTTTTTTTCCCTCTACAATGATCCAATTTCTTGCAATCTACAATGAGTATGGCCTTGCATACGTTGAACGACTAGACATACAATTAAACTATGACTAAAAGTACACAACCAACATAAGCAAAATGAAGACTCCATGATTTACCATCACTCTATATGACAGGAATTCCAATCATAGGTTTCAATTTTTTTTTCTGCTAAAATCATTCAACAAGGCACTTCAATACTATTCTTAATTTCTGGGAATCATGTCATATTTTTAAAAGTTTCAATAATTAAATTAATGACTCTGTTAATATTGAATTCCTTTCTAACGCTCTGAAATCTATTTTATTTTGCTTAACCTTTTTATTCCAAAATTGCTAAATATATCGAATAAAATGAGTTTAACACCATTTTCTCCCCAGTAAACTAACTAAATTCCCCAACCTTAAACAGGGTTGCTACACTATTTTGAGAAAACAATATCCTGACTTTTGCAGGTTTTTCCTGACCTTTTACAATAAAATTCCTGACCCGCCGTTTCCCACTCCAACAGAACTTTTAACATTGCAGTTTCAATTAGTAATAATATGCTACTTAGTCATAAGTATCATAGATTGAATAGGATAAACACTTATATATTAAAGTGGAATTGCGTAATAGCACTTTATATCCCAAATTATATTTTCAGAAAACTTGTGAAACATATTTTTAATTATCATGATTAGATTAAACTTTTAGTGTGTTTTTGTAGTTGGATACGAAAACTATTTAAATAAAAAGATCAAGAAAATCTGCTGGATTATGGAAATATTATTTAATTTAATTTTAAGTGGAATCAAATGCATGAGTGTCGTCAGGATATAAAGGGTTAATCAAATCTGCGAGATATGTATCAGTATCCTCAAATAATATTTACTCTTAAAACGTACTAGAATATTTGTTACATTAAAATATTAATTTTTAAAATTCACAATTTCACTTAAAACTGACTTTTCTTTTGAAAGATAATATTGAAATATAAAGGGGAAAGAAGTGAAGAAAAGTTAATTAGATACAAATAAAAATTCAGATAGAAATATTATGCAACTTGTGAGAAAAATAAAATCAAAAATATTTTTTTCCCAGTATTTTTAAATTTATTTCTGTAATACTGTAAGCTTCCGGAGAAACTCAGGGGCTCCTATGCTATATAATATTTTTCAACATATTTTGCTGTTTGACAATTTCTGAATCAAGAACATCCAGTTCTGTTGCAGCAGTTTTTGTCAATTTAGATTTTCTTAATTTCAAATCATCTATCTTTTCTTTTATTCGCTTTCTAGAAATTTAAGCTTTTTTATTCTTTCGTTTTTCTTTTTTTTTGGGGGGGGGGGCTTCTAATGCATGTCTCCATCTTGTTCTAGATCCTTTTACAGCATCTAGCATTTTTTCATTAATGTCTATGTTTTTAATTTCATTTATAAATGAAACATAATCATACACACACTTTTGCGAAAAAATGGAGTCTTCAACCAATAAGCTTTTATTGATTGAAAACCCCCCTTTGACTGTTGCGTTACCAGGAGAGAGGATAAGAACAATTTTTATAACCTCCCACAAGTTTTAAATTTTTTTTTCTCCGTGCAAATATTTCGAAAAAAAGTTATCTAATCTCTTTTGCTGTGGATTAAACTCTAAGAAACTCTTTTGCTCTTCGTTTTTTTTTTTTTTTTTTGGCAGTATCACAAAACAGTAAAAATTCCTTTTTTGATTTTTCTGCTGTTGTTTCAGCTACTATTGTCTGTAAACCAGTTATTCACACAAAGAGCAATAAACCTAGCAACCCTATCGAAAATTCTTTATCATTGGATAGACAGGAGGAAAATTGCTAACAGGACAGGTTCTACCAGGGAAAGAGGAATGTTATTATGAGGAAATTACATATTTTGAATTACAGAATTTTTCCTTGAAACTTTATTTTTGCCTATCAGTCTTTGAATGCACTATAGTTTTTTTTTTTATTTTCCTAACTTTATGAAAATGTAAGAAAAATCCTGACTTTTTAGTTTAATTTTAGAATAGCCTGACTTTTGCAGGTTTTCCTGATCGTGTAGGAACCCTGTTAAAGGTCCTATTGCTGATATCAATAACCAGGTAATTTACTATATTTCTTATCACTGTGGCCTAGCATATAATTTGACAAACCAAACATACACTTAAATTTTAACTTAACATGGCAGAGATGTATAAAATGAAGTTCATAAACAATCTTCCATCATCCTCTGCATTGCTCAACTTCTGATTATAAGTTGGAGCTTTCTTCTATTAACACATTGCTGAGTGGTCACAAGTTAACTCATGTTTTCATGGCCAAGCGTTGGTGAGCGGTCACGAGTTATAGCAATCATGTTAGCAGTGATCTCGTGGTGACTATTTTAAAAAGTGGGCGTAATTTTCCTTACTTTTCAAGTTTTACTATTTAATTCTCTACCAATTTATTATAACTTTATGAAACTTGATATATTTGCAAAACTTGTGGTGTACCATTACACGTAGGTGATTGTTATACTTTTTATTATATGAAAAAGAACGATTAAGAGTTGAATAATAAACAAAATTCTTTAGAGTTTATTTATATTGTTTAACTTCCACATCTGTTCCACAGAAAAGCTGCCGGTCTGCAATGTGTTAAAACAGTTGAAGAATGTTCCTCAACCAATAACCTAAATGATCTAAAGTATTTTGTAAAATCCTAACAATTTAGTTAACTTTTTTAGCATCCTTTTCAAGCTTTTTTTTCTTCTTATTTTAACTGGTTAGCAATTTCTTAAGCATCTCTCTGTTTCTCTCTTTTATTCTGTATTTTGTCACTGAAAAAGGTGTTTGATTACAGTATCAAAATGTCTGTCTCTTTTCATGTTGCTTAAGCTTTAATAACAGTAAGTTCAAATAAATGTGTTAGGCAAATAAATACAGACCTAGCTGATTCTCTGATTTCTGCTAAAACTCGGTCTTGCTTTTCTAAGGCAGCTAAACTTTGTTTCCACTGATGAACTATTTGTTGTTTTTCAAAATGTATTGTCTGAAAAAAAATTTAAGTTATCAACTTTTAAGTTCACAGAAAATATAAACTTATAATAGTTCTAATTCTCATAAAATATCAAAACAACACATAAAATTTGACATCAGGATCCATATAATACTGAAATAAATAAATAAATTATCCTCAATTAAATATCAAAAATAAATCACCTGAATTCTGAAGCAATCTGCAACATAATAAATTGTAATCTACTTATGATAAATATACATTAACAAATCGAGAGAAAAAATTAAGAGACATACAATATTTGAACATTCATTATAACAGAAATTTAGGGTCACTTTTCAAATAGAAAAATAAAATATTCTCTGATGTTATAAAATAAAAAATTCTCTGACTGTTTTTCGATGAATTTGAAGAAAAAATGAGTCTAATATTACAGAGTATATTCTTGATTCTGGCGACAAAACAGAAATAATGCACCTTCAAAAATAAATTAATTAATTAATAACATTTGCCATTCATACATCTTATATAGAACATTTAATTAAAAAATTTAGGTAGTCTGATGAGGTCCTTACACCAATGGAAATAAATAAGCTGTAGTTTGAGCACCTTCAATTTGATGAAGTTTTAACTTTAAACTATATATACATTTCCCAAAAGAATTGTTCGAACTTCAAATGAAAACTTTAATATTAAAAAATCGATTAAACTTTTCCTAAAAATATTTATATTACAGAGATATTTCCACTTAGGTGGAATTCAATAGCATTATTAATCCTCAATTTTATTCATATTTTTAAAAATACTAACAATTCAGCATTGGGGTAATTTTACAAATATTAAATAATTCAATCACAAATTCTTTTCCTTTTCACAAAAATTCAATAAGCAATAGCAGTGATAAGAAAACCTCATAACGTTGATCTAATTCAGACAATATGATCACACCACCTAAACATGGATCGTCTATTCAAACTTGTACATTTCATCAATATAAAGAGTTTTAGACATAACGGACAGTATTAATAGATACTTCAGAAATAAACTTTTTGTACCTTTAATGTACTTTTACAAAATACCTTTATTTATTTGTTACCAGACAAAAAATTATATACACTTAATCTCTTAATCCTCACTTTGAAATATACTACTGAAACAAATATTTGAACATTCTTACTAAAATAAAAGTACATACTTTCAATAAAAACGTTTAAAAAAAAATTAAAATTAAAAATCTTATTATTAAAAAGAGAACAGTGAGAACATAAAATTCAGTAAATAGTAGGTATTTAATTAAGACAGACATAAATAAAATAAAATAGCATAAAAAAAGCATTCTGGTGCTTTTTTAACAGCTTTAAAATAAAATAATAAAATAATCTTGATATAAAATATTACTTAAATAATAAAATTGCTAACCTCCATTTCTACATTTGCTGAATTCAATTCCTTTCTTAATTCAGATGCTTCTTCTCTTTTGATGCCCCATTGAGTTCTGTAGAAATTTATCTTGTCTTCCAAGTTAAATCTGTTATTTTCGATTTGAGAAATTAACAAATCCTGAAGAAAAAAACTGCATTAAATAATACTAGTAGGGTTATTACATAAATCATAATTAACTTTAAAACAGCTATTTCTTCATAATGAAAACTGCATAGAATAAACAGGTATATTTTAATACTTCATTCCTTAGACATATGCAATTGGTGTTTCTGCACTGGACCTCATGCTTTATAGGGCCTTGAGCAAAAAAGAAGAAAAAAGATATCAAAAAGGAAATTTAAAAAAAAATTAACCGTGGGTACCTAAAAGAACTAACTAAATTTTGTGGAGATATGCCACAGTGTTTATGATTTAAAGCATTAAAACTTGGTATGTGCAGTGTATCTAATGGGGTGGCCTATCCAGTGTTTTTCTTTAATTACTTTAGTTTGAAAATTCTATTTTGTTGAATTGCATCAGCAAAATTTCATCATTACTTTTCATTTTTCATAATTGTGACATAACATATACTTTGTATTGTAATTTTTAATTTAAATTAATTTTTTAAATTTTTTTTTTAAAAATAAAATCAAACAGAGATATGTAATAATGTCTTTTAGTACCTGGTCCTTTGGACCAATGACTAAAATTTTTGAACTTCTATCCATCAAATGAATAAGAAATAATGCAAACTTAACATTGGGAGTTAAAAAGTGTTTGAGTTATCCTGTTTTATTGCATAGAAGACAAAATAGAAAGAAAGACATTTTGTATAATCACCTGTCTAAGCTTTTGAATTTCCAATAATTCTTTATCCTTGGTTGATTTTTCCACAGTACGTTGGAGACTTTTAGCATCAGTAAATGACTCCATTTGTAAAGACGTAAGCTGAACCACTTCAAAAGCTAATTGCTCAACAGCTTTTTGTAATTCGAGATCTAAGGAAAATGAGATGCACAAAACAATATAAAATCAATTGTTCCAAGTATTTTTTCTAAACATCAGCATACAAAATGTTAAAAAAAATATGACTTAATTTAATTTCTACTTCAATATTTAAAATTTAGATTGTATTAGAATAATTTTATTAATTTTGAAATAAAAATTTATTATAAATTACACTTAATCAACACAATTATCTTATTTGATAGCATAAATAATGATCAATCAATTTTATACAATTATAATTTTACATATAAATTATTATGATTATTATTATTATATATATATTATAGGAGCAAAGAGTTTAAGATGAATGCTTTAAATGTACCATATTTACTTCAATAAATGGTTAAAATAATGATAAGAAAAGAACAAAGACTCTTTTATTTACTTGATTATAGATTATTAATATCCTTTAAAAAAAACTTGGTTATAAATACTTACTAAATTTTAAATTTATTTTCTGATTAATTATTTTCAAAATGAAATATAGCCAAGATTATCTGATGTTAGATTTTCCAACATGAATGAGAAATATTCAGAGGACCTACTCATTGTAATTTTCTTCAGATAATTGATTACCAATGCGATTGCCCTACAATGAAATTCTTTCTATACATATTGTATGGTTGAACACTTAAATTTTAAAAGCTTATCACAGTATGGATTTGGTTTGATTGTTTCTAACACACGAGAGAAACATTAATAGATTATTAGCCACAGTCTGGGATTTATCTTGAAAGATGATCCGAAGACAGACAAATGTGCACACTACACTACTCTGATTTTGATCAAGGGCCAATTATTGGTGGTTGTAATGACATCACCTCTGCACTTCATGACCCAACTGTTATACCATGCCTAGACTTTTAAGATTCTGAGACCGTTGAAGTCATCACATAATGCCTCTATCACACGAGAGAAAAATATGTGCAACTGCAAGTGTAAGTGAAACTCTAAGCGCAATTCCTCCGTTCGGAGTTGCCGAAAGGGTTGCTTAATTGCCTGAACGGTTGCATGTAATTGGGTTACCATATTTTGTTATTTATCTTTACTTTTGGCTCATATTTTATTTTATCATATTTTATTATATCATAGTTTCTGAACGATGTTCGTAAAGGGAGGAAAAAGAAATCACAGACGCTGTAGAATATTGATTGATTTTGATTTAATTTTTTACATTTGTATTTGTGTTAAGTCTTTTTTTCAGCAGCAAATTAAAATTCTAAAAAACTTTATTTCCCCAATAGTGAAGTAGCATAGTATAAAAAGGATTATGATTTCTACCTCATAATATGAGATGATATTAAGATATCATTGAATTTCATGCTGCGTCCCTGAAAGGATAAGGGGGTGAAAGGGAGATGGACTTAAATACATGCTGCGTCTCTAAAAGGATAAGGGGGTGAAAGGGGGATGGACTTAAATACTATCTAGAATTTTGACAATTTTTTTTATCTTGATTTGAGTGACTAAGGTATAAAACATGGTGCGTAGCGTTTTTGAAAAGTGCTTAAAGGTGCTTATTTTCGATTTTCATTTTTTAAAGGCCCTTAAAGGTGCTTTTCTTAATGGGTGTTTTTAAAAGGTGCTTTATTTTCCCTTTTCGAAAATGAAATTTATGAAAGGGAATGTCGATTTTCGCCACGTATTATGTAAAAACGTGTTTTTCACATTTTTCTATTTCACGTTTTCAGAATTCATTCAACCACGATCAATTTCAGCGTACCGTCAGTCCATAGCGTATGAAAGCGCCAATCATTTTACAGGTTTGGTGAAGTACTTGCGAGTCCGCATGTGCGTCTAGTGAGCTGGGTTCGGTGAGATCCTTGCTTTCTCATGTGCAACTCTGCTGTATTTTGCAAGATATTCTCAATTTCAGGCTTTATTTTTCACCCTCTGAAATCGAACCGAAAAATCTCTTGATCATTTTTTAATGGCTAATATAATCAAGAAAAGAGTTCTTTGTCAAATTCTAGTTATTTTATCATGATCATGTGAAGTCTGAGATTTATTTTGCATTTTGTCAATTTACATAGTGCTTAAAAATATTTTTTGAGTGCCTAAAATGTTCTTAAAAGTTGCTTATTTTTTGTTGAATTTGGCTCCGCACCCTGTAAAAGCATAGTTTATTTATATATATTTACTATCTAACATGCTAGCTAGGCAAGTGCGGTATCGTTATCTATGTATACGCTAAATCGAATGAGAATAAAAACAAGCTGTCTGATTTAATAGTTTAGCTACTCGAAAATTTATAAAAGTTTCATGTGTAGAAAGGACAATTTTATGACTTATACCATTTTATGCAACTGACATTGCTATCTAAACAAGTAAGGCATTTCTTCAAATTTAATTTTTTAAGCTTAATTAAAAAACATAGTCCTTTGAAATAATTCTTTAGAAGAAATGAGGGTTTAATGTATGAAATATACAATTTTTGACTTTCCTTTTGCTCATAAAATATTTATAACATCAAAACTATTAGTTCTATCAAATCAATTCTATTTTTTTAATTTAGTCTAAAAAATACATAATAAATAATGTCTATACTACTAATGTCTATACTTGTCTATACTACAATGTGTCAGAATTTTATTGTCATCAAATTAATTTACATTGCATTAAGGAATCATCACGCCCGGTGGCTGAGCGGTAGCTCTTCGCGCTGTCGTGCCACAGGTCCCTGGTTCGATCGTCGGGCCGAGCAAGGTTGACTCAGCCTTTCATTCCTTCAGTGGGTCGATAAATGAGTACCAAGCATACTTGGGAGCTAAACACTGGGGGTTTCACGTATGGCTGACTACCTAACCGGAACAAATGCTCCTGCATCCCAGAGCCCAAAGGTCAAGAAAACTGAGATGGGCACAGAAGGCCTTGGCCCTCTGTGGGCTGTGCCGCTGAGTTTAGTTTAGTTTTTAAGGGATCATCAATTTTATTCATTTACACATTGCATATCAGGAGTATCACTTTTATGAAAATTATTTTTTCCAATTTCTTAGTAAAATTGTTTTTTAAATATAAGAGGATTTTCAATGTCATACTTACAATTTATTATTGTAAAATTTAAAACATTCTTTATTGATATGAGATAATTTAATTAAAAATTATAGGATTTATTTTAGGACAAATTTATTGTAATATACAGTATATAAATTAAAATTTATTTATAACTATGAAAAAAAAAAAAAATTTTATTAAGAACATACTTTTTATGTATCATATTATTTTGTTACAGACTTTTACATGTTTTGTTTTGCATTTTAAATAATACAAGAATCAATTTAAAAAACAAAACATTTATTGTCAAGTGAAACATTTAGAACATTATTCATTTTCATTTCTTATTTTTTAATTTCTTTCATAAAAACAGTATTGCATCTCTTTCCTTCTTCACCAGACAAACCTTACAGGATTATACGAAATATCTGAAATAAAAGAAAGAAATCACTTTCATGATAAAATTTTACCAACACATTATTAGAATAAGAGAGATTAAATACCATTAATTTGAAATCATTTAAGTCCTTAGGTATCCCCTTTAAACTTATTTTAAGTTTGACAGATATTTTGATTAGAGTTCTAAGATTATTCTATACACTAATGAAAGATGGCAGGTATATTTGGTTTTGTAGTTCTTATGTTTGGATTGAAATTTGTTTTAAGAAAAATAGATTGTATTTATGATCGAAGACTATTAAAAATTTATGTATATTGAAAAATTAGTAAGGTACACTTACATACTTACTGTCATTGTAGAAAAGCTAAGTATCAAAATATAAATGTGAAGTATAAATAAAAAGTAAAGTATCATTAGTAAATCATCACACACACAAAAAAAAAAAAAATTGAGGGGATGAATGTAGAAACAGACAAGGAGATTGGAAATTTGCATTTTAGATTTTCAAAAATTAAAAGAATTCTTAGGGAAGAATAAAATAATTAATTCACAAATAATTATAATAATAAAAAAATTTCAAATAATCGGACACATGCTTTTACAATCAACAGTAATAAAGTTTAAAATTTGAAAATAAAGAAATATAATCATTATTATATTTTATGTTATAATAATGTAACAAAGTTTGGCGAGTTGCTTGGCGAATATTTCAAAGTAAAGCTTTTCGCCAGTATAAATCTTTACATATATAAAAATAGAAATTATTTCTATTTAAAGTAATTAAAACTTTGATCGGAACAAATTATAATAAGTTTTAATTTTATTAGCTTAAAATAAATAAATATTTTAAAAGAAAATTTATCTAGAAAATAGTGTACTATACTCACCGATACTAAAATGATGTGCAGGTTCCTGTTATGGTAGTACCTCAACTGCATTGAGATGGTTATTTCATCGTGTGAAAGTATTTTTAATGCTTTGATTTTAAAGAAAATGTTATTATTAAACTAAAAAACTGTTCCGTTACGTCTATAAAAAAATTTCATCCGATCATACTCTTCACCAACGTCGCCGCCATTTTTATTTACATTTGTATACGTCATCACATAAAATTGAAACGTCATAAAAGCAAACGATCTGATTGGTTCATGAAAGAAATTGCCTGAACGGTTGCAGATATTTCGTGCAACCCTGATTTCTATATCACACGAGCAATTTTTGGAGAAATTTCACTTACAGTTGCACTTACACTTGCAGTTGCACATATTTTCTCTCGTGTGATATAGCCATAAGAGTGGATCCGGAACCAGTACGATACAATTAGAGAACTGCAGTCTGTTCAGGTACTCAATCTTGAGAACAAACTCAAAGACATAACCCACTCAGAACCAAATCTTCCCAACAAAAATCAAAGACATAGGCCACTACACCAACTAAGGAGCTCATCATAGCATGTAAATAAAAATATTGCTTTGGTAATTCTTTTTGCAAAAATATCCAAAAAATATCTGTATTTTCATTTAATCTTTTTAAATTTCTACATCAAAAAAATATTAGATGATTAATAATTCCAAAAATTTTATTCTTAAAACCTCCGTTTGATGCAATTTAGAAAAAAATTATATTAGATTAGTAAAAAAAAAGTGCTAAACATTTATTACTGAATATATTACTACACAATAAGAATACCTTTTTTAACTTCACTTTTCCGATTCTCCTCAATTGCTTGATAATTGTTTTTAATATCAGTACACTTCTCATGATTGGTTTCTTTTCTTTCGACTTGTTCTTCATACTTGACATGAATAGCTTCTAACTTTTCATCTAATTGCTTTAAATCCTTCTGCAGATCATAGCCTCTTTCAGCAAATAACTGATTCTCTTTTTCTTGGGCTTCAATAGTTCTTTTCTAATTATAACAAACACTTATTTAATTTTTGAATATACAGTGCTTGGTAGATAAAGTATTAACAAGTGTATCTTTGAAACAAAGAATATGTGAATTTTTGAGTCAGGTGAAATTATATCCGGTATCGCGTGCAAAAAAATTTTTTGAATAAGTATTAAAACATTAAAAAAAGAGGATCAATATCAGAATCCACAAAAATCATTTGGTATTTTAAGTTTGAAAAAAAAAAAAAAAAAGAAAGAAAATTCATGCTTTTCTTTCGTCCTTCGATTTACATACTAAAAATAATCATGATAAAATGCATACAGTTTTTATACTTTTATTGACAACGAAACTAATTATTATTTTATTAATAATGAAACCAAACTTATAACATAGTTTTAAACAACTAATGTTTTACATACTTTGCTCTCATAGTGACCTTAAATGAAATACACATTTAGAGATTAAGATATTTTTATTTAGAAAGAAAATTATAATTTCAGAAAAAATATTATCAAAATAATTTTTGCAACGTACATTAAAAATAGATTTTAAGATCAAAAATAAATTATTAAAAGTAATATTTCTTTTGTACATAAGTAACATTTAAATATTTTCTATATAAGAAAGAGATTTTTCTTAAACCCTTATAAAGTAAATGTAAAGCAACTAAAAAACAAGTTTTTATTCCTAACTCTTATTCACAAGGCATTTATTAAAAGCTAAATTTAAAAAAAAAAGTTTTTACTCCCATAGTTGCAAATAATTGCATTTTAGTAGCAGGTTTAAATTAAAAGATACTATGAAACTGAAAGATTAAAAAAGATTTAAAGTTTCTTGGTAACAGTAATAAAAAAACATACCAAATCAATAAGTTGATCATCAGTTTCTTGATTAAGCTTCAACAATCTTTCTTTCAGATCATTTTGATACTTTATCAACAAAGGCTATACCATAAATAAATTATATTGCAAATTAAAAATAAAGATTTAAGATCATTTAAAACATAAATAGAATTATTTTTCAAATTACACAGTAAATTGAAAAGCTTAGTAAAATAATAAGTTATATTACATTTTGTGTGCTCTAAGCAAAGAATTCAGCCAAAATCTTTAATTAGCAGTTTTCAATAGAAAATATACATTGAAAATACCTTTTTAAAAACTGTTAAAGTTTCTCACAAATTTGCAAAAAAAATTTTAATACATGCTTCACTTATTCATTAAAATATCAATGGTAAGTTTAAATATTTCTTTTTTGTTACTCAACCCTACATGGACTGAAATTTATTTTTATCAAAGTTCGAATATTTATTATTTCATTGAATTACAACATAAATTACATAATTATTGTTACATTGAATGAATTCAACAAAATCAAGAATGTTTTTTCTAACAGTTTCTCAGTTATATATAAAGAGTTCTAAAATTTAGACAAGAACTAATTCTGACAGAAAATTATCTAATTTTGATTGACAAATGGAAATGAAGCCATGCTTTTTCATATAATTTATGTTATGCCTTTTTTGAAATTCTGGTGAAATTTAAAAAAAAAAAAAAAAAAACGTAGCACAAAATCCATAAAATAATTATAAATAGATTAATATTTCTCGGACCTCTATTAACAATAGAATCAATAAATGCAATAATAATAAAGTCAGTTATGTAAATTACAGTTTCAACATACAGAAGAATTAGAAAGCCCAAAAATATTGATGATTAATGAAATGGCTTAAATTTCCTCAATATATTATACACACCGTAAAATTATTCATAGGTAGCTGAAAATGTATGCAATAAAGGTTTTTGTTACAAATTTTTTTTTAAAAAAGCTTATTTTTTTATTTTATGAAATCTGCAAAATAAAAATTGAAGCAGCAATTTTTCTTATAATTTATGGTGAATAATAACAAATGCCTTTCTTGGAACCCTGGGGAAATATTTAATAAAGCACAAAATATATTATTGTTAATTAAGAATTAGAAAATAATTTAAATAATCAAAAAATAGAATTTTAATAGTTTCATATCTACCTTCAAACTAAAAATTACTAGTTCTACAATAAAAATTTATTTTTGTAAATTACAATAATCTCTCCACAATCTGAAGAATTAGTGAAGTAACCATTGATACAGTAAAATGGTTGAAAATGTTTCCAATATTTTTTTAGAGCAATTCATAATCACAAAAGAAAGACAATGAAACGATCAAATAAACTGCAAAGCAGATAATTTCCTCAAGGAGAATCCCAAGATAACAGTAGCTTGAACAAAATGATATAATGCCAGAAAGAAGTTATAAATTATTTCAAATTGATATGTAATAATGTTTTCATTAGTAGCAACCATATTATCACAGTGAATGAAAAAGCTTGAACATGCATAATAGTAGAAAAACCACATTTCATTATGAAACTTGGTTAAGTTTAGAAAATGAATATAATAAATTATGTAGTAAAAACATACATGATCGAACAACAAAAATTTGTCATTTCCGCCTCCTACATCAAGTTTAATATTAAAACCAGTCCTTTCACTTCCTTCAGATTCCAAATGAACATGCGGAGCACTATTAAAAAAAAGACAAGTTCATAAAAAGTAATCCAATCGAAATATAGTACAAATATAACTTAAATTTGAGAAACATAATCACTTTAAACTATCTCCAATGATTATATTTTCAACAGAAGCTGAAGATTCTGATGTACTTGGCGCAGAATCACTTTTAGAGAGATCCAATAACTGAGACTGACCTGTGTAAAGACACTTGCATCTTAGGAATTAAAAATAAAATAGAAGTGATAATAGTATAAGTATTTCAGTTCGTGGTAATCAGCAAATAATTACTTCTGGTCAGAAAAGTGGTTTAGCAGATCATAACTAGAGATTTCAGAACTTTTGCTCAGGCAATTAAAAAGAAAGGCAAACTTATGTGAGCTACACTGCTTCATTATAAATAGTTAAAATAATTTTCTTCCTTTTTTAAGAAAGAATAGCTCATTAAGTTGTCAATTTGAAATTATCTGTAAATGATGTCCCACAGTTTTCAATATTTTTGTCCCCCATGTCATATTTGTTACACTCAATCATATCACTTAACTCCCAGTCACATTTAAAATTTTGTTAAATACAGGGCAAGTCTGAACAAGGCGGCATAATTTTACTGGGTTATAGAACGCATCTACACGAACAATATGAATTGTAGAATGTAAGATCGGAACACAAGCAGTGAAAAGGTAAAAGGTAGTTTTGCACTCTCACATTTAAAGAATCAACACAATGGGAAAAGAGGCTTTGAAAAACTCTTTTATTTACCGGGATATGACTGCGGTACAAAGAAATCATTTAAAAGAAAAATATATAATCGATGTTGAAATTGCTCGAAGAAATGCCAAAAAATAAATTTCTTGCTGTTTTTATACGAAAGTACATTACACTCTACACTGCAGATATGAAAATTGCATTGCAGCTGGGAGAACTTTTGAGCGAATTCTTTGAGCATTTCTTCGAGAAATTTTTTGCACATCAACTACATCCTTTTCTTTTGAGTATTTTCCTTAAAGATCAATACTATTCCCGTTAATAAAAAGTTTTCTGAAGCATCTTTTCCTAGACGTGTGTGTGAATTCTTTAAATGGGACAATGGAAAACTACATTTTCTAATCATACATTCTATGACAAATATTGCTCGTGTAAATGCATTCTATCACCCAGTAAAGTTTTGCGGTTTTGTTCAGAATATTTGCGATTCAGAGATAAAGAAGTGCTTATTAAAATATTTTAAATTTTAAAATTCAGGTATATTTTTCTATTGAATAAAACACAATTTTTTTTTAACCCTCTTAGTATTAGTTCAAGCTTTTTCCTAATTTCCAATCCAGCCGTTTCTAGTATCAAAAAACTCGTTCTCCAATATTATTTGATGAGTAAGTGTTGCGTAGCAACATAAATTCCAGAGCATTTTTATCCATGCATTCAACCCTTGGAGAGTTAAAAGTATTAAGGCCTTAAAAGAATTTCTTTTAAATGTAAAGTTAAGGAATCAAGTTAAACTTTATTTAAGATCATTTTTTTAACACAAAATAAAAAAGATACGCATATCTTTTAAGTAAACACAAGCTGAAAAAGATACGAAAGAAAAAAAATATATACATATGTAAATAAATTAAATAAAGATAAACTAGATAAAAATAACTTACATAAAAATATTTAACATAATTTTAAATGATCTTATTTCAACATTTATGACATTTTGAGCAAGGGCAATTTTAACATTTACAAATGTCATATTTACAGACTATAAAAGCATATATCTCTGTTAAAAACAAATCAAACAGTACAAAGAATTTTTTTTAAACAAATTTTGGGTTCATTCACATTTTATCCAACCTTTATAAACATTTAGAAATTTAAAATGTTTTTAAAAAATAAAAACTGTTTTTTTTCCTAAAGTTTAAAGGCTTAAATGTGTTTAAAGGCTGTCGACATGAGTTTCATATATCTGACTCTGTCCTTTGTCTGGAACAATAGATTGCCACTGATTGACCCCCAGATCTCACTAAAGAGAATTAACGAACCTAGTCTTCCTTTTTCGCGTGTACCTTCAATTTTTGAAAAAGTCACAAATTTAGTTAAGATTGAATCCTTACATATAAAAGCCATCTAATGTGGTTAGTCTTTAAAATTTTGACAATATTTAGTTCTTTAAATCTACTGTAATTTTCATAATAATATTGTATTCTATAGACATCATTTTGCTAAACTGCACCCAAAATCTTTCAGAATATTTTTCTCTCAAAGATCATCAACTTGTGTTTTTTAAATTTATTTAGTGACCAGCTTTCACTGTCGTATGAAGCAATTGGCTTAATTCAGGTTTGGCACAGGTAATTTTTTGTTTTAACATTGATAAATTTGGGCTAGAATCTGTTTCTTCACCCATAGAAACCTTTGATTTTTTTATTAGTTTATAACTGTCGTTGAACAGCCGACCGAATTTTTGAGTTCACAACTACTAACGTTCAACTCCGTAACCTTGCAATTTTGAACCCAATCTGGAAAACAAGGAAACTCCTGGATCAAGTATTAGGAGAAATTTGCCTTACATGGAGAGGAATACCACAAGAACCTCCCACGGTTAGCCTGATGGCAAGGGGAGTCTAACCCATGATCCGTCTACCACTGAGGATCTTTCACGCCAGCACTATGGTCGGTGCAAGCCGGATGCAGATTTGTATCGATCAGCCATCGCTGGGATTCAAACTTGGTTAACTTCATTAAAAGGCGGGCTCTCTATGCCCACCATCCTGGTGCAGAAACCTTTGTTTGTTATAAATAACCTATTCGTCTACTTCCAAGTTTTTTAACCTGTTGCGCACACTCAAAAGTAAAATTAGTAATTTTTAAAAGAGATATGTCATGGTTTCTCTGTGTTACAGCAAAAAATTTAGTTCTGTTACAAAAATTAGACGTAATAAATTGTGTTATGTCAATGACACTGTTTTTAATTTTTTAAAAATAATTTAGTAATAAAAGTTGCTAAAAATTAGAGTAAGCAGAAATGGCACTAGAAATTAAAAAATCATTAACACTACTTAAAATTTTTTAACAAACTTAGATTCTTTTAAAGTTTTTGAATATAATATTCAAAAATGTTAGAATTGCTGCAAAATGTGTGATGTCAAACTTCTTTTTACCCTCTCCTCTTCACAATTTCACAAACTTCTTACAAAAATCAAAGAATGTCATTTCTGGACCATTCCATAGCACTTGATGTAAAATTCAATCACTATATCGCTTTTGGTCACACCTTTACAAAAAAAATTACCAAGTATCAAACTAACAGAGATTTTGTAGATTATTTTTCTGACTTCTAATCAGCATAGAAATAGGTTTTCAGTTCTGTCTGAAATAAGTTTTCCGCCCAAAATTCAACAAAGCTGTTCATTTCTTGAGGACAGATCAACAAAATATATTCTCTTGCTTATCCACTTAAAAATTACACAACACAAAAGCCACTATTTCATAACAACAAATTTAATAAAATAAAAAATTTCCTTGATATTAGTTTTCTTTTTGGATATTATTTCATTAGAGGACTAAGAATTTATTTACTTTACTGGTACATAGGTGAAAAAAAGGTTGAAAACCCCTAAAATAATATAGATGTAATCTGTCAGAGATCATATGTAATGTATTTAGAGATCAGCTTATTTGATATAAAATTACCAAATGGGCAGATCGTTACAGAATTCAGTTCTAAAGAAATAAATAAAAATAAATAAATAAATACCTAGTTAAAATGGATAAAACATTGAAAAATAAAAAGAAATCGGCTATGAGAAGAAAAATAAATATATAATACTACTACGTAAGATACTTTTATTCTACAAACAATAGCATGAAAATTTCAAAGATTTGTAGATCTTGCTGTTTTTTGCAAATTATCCAGACACTAGCAAAAAAGTTATTTTGGTAACACTTCTAATTTAAAAGGAACTAAGAATGGTTTATAAAATGTTTTTCTTATGCTTCATTCAGAGAACTGTTTTTTTGCTCACATTGAAAAATTATAAGAAATTGTGCAATCAGTATTTTTTCCTGCTCACGTTATCAATTAAAGCAGAAGAATCACTCATACTATCAGTATTTCAAGTTGGTATCGAAAAAGATGTTTCAGTTCATTAAAAAGTGTGAACCATCATAAAAAGTTAAATACCTATTCTTTTTTTTAAATATTTTTTATTAGAATACTTACTGTTTTCCTCCATGTATAATACTTAAAAACACTGCAACAATCAAAAAAGGAACATCAAAAAAGTCTGGAACAATGCATCAGTATACAGACATCCTAAACATCAAAGATAATAATTATAATCACAATATATTCTTATAAAAACTAAAATTTGAATTTAAAGACCAAAAAAATGATAGTCTTAGCATTTAAATTATGAATAACAATATCAATATTAAAAAAAAAAGTGAAGACAATTAAGGAGCTTTCTTTTTGGCAAAATTACAATAAGTATATCAAGAATTCACAAGTTTTTGGTTGTTATTGGCATGGTTTTTCAAATTTCATGTTTTGTAAAACTTTCAATGCTAAATTCTTACAATTAATTGTTATTAACATCATAAAGCTGCAATTCAAAAAATCCTTTGCAAATAATGGTAGTAAATATCAAATATAAAACTCACTTATTCCTGAAAAAGAAATCACTATTCTTAAAAACTGGAACAGTTCACAATTATTTTTTAAATAAATATTGGTGTCATTTACATATCCTAAAATTTTTATAAACATTCAGAAATTTAAAATATTCTTTAAAATTTAAAAACCTGCAGTTACAGGTGGAATACATTGTGTTAAGTCCGTGACACTCAGGTTTTTAAATTTTGCTTTAGAAAGTTACTAAAAATTCCAGTGAGTCTAGATGGCACCAGAAATTATTTGGATACAATTATACATAATTGTAATTGTCATATTTTGTAAACTCTTTTCCCAGTTACTATAAATAGTTGTATTAAATATCAAATATGGAATTCATGTAGTCCTTAAAAAATTAATCAAGAAATATAAAATTTGGAACAGTTCTTATCTCAGTGTATTACAGTGTTCTCCCTTTTAGAAAGGCGGCTTGCCCGGCTTTCCTTTTGATTCCTATAAATACCGATCTCTTTATACAAATAAGCCACCATCCTTTAAAAACATTGCTTTTTTATTCATACTTCATTTTGAAAAAAAAATTTATTCAGAGTTTGAATAATAATGGACACTTACAGCATCTCTTAATTTTTTTTTCAATCGCAACTTATTGAAAATTCTCTCCTGTAACCGAAAATCTGATTGCTTTTTTGTCAAATGTTTATTTTATTATTAAACATTTAAACTGCTCAAAAAGTTCCCTCCATAAGTGGAGCAATAAGAAACGATGTCTGATTTGTTATGATGTCACATGTGCTGAAAAGAAACGTGCTGCCTTGATTTGCTAAGGTTATTTCAAAGCTCTTTTAATTTTGATATCACTTATATCTTATAAACATCCTTTGTAAATTATAAGTAAAAACTTTGTGAATTAAATTTATAGTTTTAAGAGTGTGCAAAATTAAAGAAAGATTTTAAAAATTTCAAACTGTTTATTTATCACTAAAATATCTGAAGAAATGATTACGCAGCTCTTCAGAACAAGTTAATATTTCTTTTCGGCTGAAATTAGTGGTGTTAAAATTCATAGAAAATATTATTTTATTTCACTTACTTTTAAGTTAAAATAATGCTCCAATACTTAATTAAATGCTAATTAAAATAATGCTAATTACTTAATTAAAATCACTCACAGCTATTTAAGTATAGGGTGGATGATTTTACAGTATTGCAATAAAACAAATCAGTATTTTCAGAAATCTAGTCCACTTAAAAATAGCAATCCATTATCATTAAATTCTTTGTGCTATAGTTCAAAAATTCAAGCAATGTAATTTAATTATTGTTTGTATTTTTTTTTACTTGAGTTGAAGGACTTTTTTTTAAAGTAAAGATTTACTAATGCCGTTTATGTCTACTTTTTTTTTCACTATGTAATAAATATTTAAATACACATTAATGCTTATATTTATTATTCTTTGAGTAGAGAGAAATTTTACTGCTGTTAGAAATTATTTTTATTTTCAAATTTATATATTTTAAATCTTGTTTCTGCAATAAAGTGTTTACAAAGTATGGTTATTGTTGATTTCTCTCCTTATTTTTGCAAACTAATTGTCAGTGCTTGCAATGACAAATTCTAAAATAGTAAAATGAACAACACATTATACATTTTTATATTTATTAAAAAATTAAAAAGTAGACAGAAATGTTGACATCTTTTCTCAATATTTTTATTATTTAAGTAAATAGAACCTTTGCTATGGCTATAAATTATTTTATATGTATTTATAAAATTTAATTCTTGTTTCTAAATAAATCCATGTGCTTGATTTCAATACTCTTATAACATAGAGTAACACAATTAAAAGAAAGTTAATAAAATCTAGTGGAATGAATTAAATTTTTATCTTACTTTACTTAATTTTAAATAACTTAATATATTTTTTTTAAGGAAGAATTGTAAGCTTTGCTGAGATCACAAGTTTTTGAAAAGACAACTGGTATATTGAAGATAATTCCCAGCATTGAATTCACACCAGGAAAAATAAATAGATAACTTAAGCTTACCTACATTTTTTAGAAGTAGAAAATTTCGTCAACTATTAACAATGTTTCAGTGGGTACAATTGAAATTTAACATTGCTATAAAAATATGTAATATTAAACCCACATTTTCTTTGAGCTACATTAGGGTACAATTTATTAAACATATCGTTGTTCTCCCTTAGTTATATAGCATCTAAAATAGTAGGATTTTATTATGAAAATTCAAATAAAAGCAAGAAGTATTGGTTTTCACAGCACAGCGATTGTAAATGAATGGCAGATGGTCGTGTGTGACATCAGTTCATGAATTATCATGTGACTCCCCATTTCAGAAAAAATTAAAGGAAGCCTTTTTTATTGATAAATAATTTAATAAATAGTACTTTCAAGAAAGTAATATAATGTTTTCTGGGACTTTTAAGGGATTTTGAATACATTAAGATTTAAATAAAAAATTTATTGTAATTGTCCACTACACAGGTTCAATTCTTATCACTGTTACAAATATTTACTTTGTTAGGGTCATTCTTAACTTGCTAAATTTTCATCTCTTTTTCCATGGGGGGTATTAACAAATTATTTAATGATTTAAAATTATTTTTTAAATAAATACCTCTTTTTTTAAAAAAAAAATGCTTTTAAAAGTTTTTTTTTCTCATAATTTTCAGTTTAAATGATAGAAAAAAGCTTTCAAGTTTTTATCAAATAATCATTTATTAATTATAATTTATTAATAATCATTTATTATTCAATTAATAATTTTTAGTTTACTTTTTTTGAAAAAAATTTATACACAGAGGTTTATTTTTGAAATACATCCATAAAATATTATAAGACGGCAATTTAAAAACTGTTGAGATTTAAAAATTGAATCGCTCAGTTATTTCATAATATTACACATTTTAATAAACTTTTACAAAAAGTTAACTGCCCATTTTTTAATTTTTAGGGAGAACTCTGGTATTGTTATTGTAATACATTGTACAGTTTTTTGCCCTAGCCCTCAAATATTAAATTTACATTTAAGTATAAAACATCATTATAAAACTTTACTTATTCTTTTATAGATAATTATATAAAATGTCAAATATATAAATTAATCAATTTAAACATAACTGGGACAGTAATTTCAGTATAGAATACACATTATGTAAATCAGGTTGAAAACAGTTTTATTCCAGTTTTTTAACCTTAATATTAATTTAATATGGGTAAAGCAAATTTGTGTAAATTGCTGTTGTAAGCAACTGCATCTTTTATTTCATTATTGTCTCATTCTCTGTCCTAGTTCTAGGTAGGTGATACTTTATCAAATCTATCTTTGGGTAAAATATATTTTTCAGTTAGAAATAAAAGTTTACAAGTAAAATTATTAATAATAAGCAATGTATTCAATAGTTTATAAATCATAAATATTTTATTACGAAGCATTTTTTTCATTTGGTTACGGGGATATTTTTGTATTGTGATCTGTTTCGCCAACTATTTTTAACTCTAAAGAGACAATGCGTTATAAAAAGTAATGATAATATCTACTGTCATTATACAAAAATATTTTTTTTCAGGCAAAATAATTTGGTATGATACAACATGGGCTAAAATATGAAAGAGAAAAACAAAACCTTCTAGCAAATAACATTAACAAGAGAGTTTATTTAGACTGTCTTGCCAGAAATCCCACAGTTAAGCTTCTAGTTGATTTTATAAAGAGATCTCGATAGAATTTATTTTCATTTTAAAAATAATAAACGTTAACTAAAATCATATTCTTGGCTGTCAAGTTTCATATCACCCGCGATGCGTTAAATTACGTATTTTTACTTCGAATTGTTTACAAATAAAGTTGAATGGGACTTGAAGTTAAAGTCAAAGTGAAGTTAAGGCCGTGTTTCAATATTAGTGAACCAGTCACGTGACCTCAGTTACTTTCGGCGTGATTAGGTTCTGACGCTCTCCTCCTTCAGAATCTTCTGTGAAAAGTGCATTCCTGATTATATTTATTACTTGGGTATTCTTCCTTCTTATTTGGGTATTTTATTTATTTTCAGGGTGTTCTATTTTTGAATTGTTAAAGAATTTATGTTTCTAGACTTTTAAAACAGTTTTATAAAATAAAGCACAAAAATTATGCACATGCTTTATTAGTTCCACAGTTCTTCTTCGTATGATTTATAAATTTAGTTGATTGAAAGTAAAACTTTTATCACGCATGAGAAATAAAAAATAAAAAAATAGAATACAAGAAATATTAACAAGTCTCTAGTTTGAATATTTGAATATTTTATTCTCTTCAATTCATAATTGTTGTTGTTTTTGTTGTTGTTGTAGTTCATTTACGACTCACTAGAGCTGCACAATGGGCTATTGGCGACGGTCTGGGAAACATCCCTGAGGATGATCCGAAGACAGACCATCACTATTTTGATCCTCTGCAGAGGGAATGACACCCCCACTTCGGTAGCCCAACTACCTGCAACTACCACGCGAAGTCGAGCACTTTACGGTAGAACAGTTTAACGAGGACCAATACTGCACACCCTCGGTTCATACGCAGACTCATCCAAGTGGTCACTGACACTGACCGCAGCCAGTTATGCTTGACTTCGGTGATCTGCTGTCAATTCAAAACATAAAGTTAAAGTAAACAAAAATTAACAAATGAGTTTTACGCAAAATCACCTACAAAAGAAAAATAAGAAGAAAAAAGAATTTAAAAAAAAGAAATCTCATATAGAAAAATTGTTTGAATTGTTTTTTCTACTATTAATTATATATCATTGTACACTGAGTTATTATTTTTTCTTGAGTTATTTTAGCATCAATAACAGTTTTTGATCATTTTTGTACATTTTTCCAAATTTAAAATTAATTGATTATTTTAAAATATATTCATATTCTCAGTATATTGAAGTATTTAACAATAAAAGAGAAACATAAAAATTTACTCAGTAAAATTGTTTATAGTTTTGCTTCCAAATTTACTGGTATCGTAATTTTATTTATTTAATTTTTTTACAAAGTAAATCGTTATACTTCTGACAATGATATAATATTAAATCATCTATTGTTTAGATTTATTAAAGAAGAATCGAATTAAATTTGCATTAATTAAACAAAAAAAGCCATTTAAATCACCGTTACTTACATGAAAAGATGAATGTTTTAATTTATTATCACTTGAGTTCTTTTATTTAGTTATTAGTTTTTAAATTTGCAACATTTACATTAATCTGACCGAAAATTACATTAAATGCATAAAAAAAAATCGACGCATTTCAAAAACTCTTAATAGGAAATAATCTCTAATGATGGGGCAGTTTTAAATATTTCCTACCATAAAATAAAGGAGTTTACCCGCCTCCCCAGTGCACAAGATAAGATTTTTTTTTAAATATAAGCATACTGCATAAGATAATCGAGTAGTATTGCCATTTCTTTATGTGTTAGAATTTTAGGAAGTTACTGAAATATGATTATCAACATACAGAAAATGGGGACTGAATACCTCAAACATTTTCGTTCAATCTGTTAAAAAATAATAAACATTCTAAACATTATAGTTACATAAAAATATTTTGACAATTCAATTTAAAACAAATTTAAATTATTTAGCCCTTAAAAATATTTTATTGCTCATGTAAGAAGCATTAAAAACAATAGCTTTTTTTTAAAACTCATTATCCAGAGCACAACATCATTTAGAATTTAATGCATTTTCTTCTTTTGATTCCTTAAATTAAAAATAAAAATATTTAGCCTATTTTTTGCTTCATTTTTTTTTTGTAAATAGTATAATTTTTATAAATTAATTTATTTTAAATATAAAATAAACTTTCCTTCCTTATAATTTTCCTCACGAGAGCAACTTTATCTAAATATAATAAGGTCTTTTAAAATGTAAACTTGACAGCATTTGACGTACATGAGAAGCCACCTTTAAAATGCCTCCGTCGGTTAGCCAAACAAACATGGAAATTTAACATAAGGTCTATTTCTTTGTCATTGACATTAATGCTTTTACTTACTAAGTAAAAGCATTAATGTAAATGACAGACAGTCAAAATAAATTTTAACATTTGATTGCTGGAATTTAGAAAATTTTTTGCAACTGCTATTTTGATATAGATGGTTTACATCGCACTAGAGCTACACAATGGGCAATTGGCGATGGTCTGGGAAACACCCCTGAGGATGATCCGAAGATATGCCATCACAATTTTGATCCTCTGCACAGGGGATGGCACCCTCGCTTCGGTAGCCTGACGACCTGCACGCGAAGTCGAACACTTTACAGTAGAACAGTTTAACGAGGACATATACCGCACACCCTTGGTCCATACACAGACTGATCCAAGTGGTCACCCACCCGTACACTGACCGCAACTAGTGATGCTTGAATTTGGTGATCTGCTGGGAGCCGTGTCTTAACGATCAGTCCACTGCGGGACTGATATAGATGGTATATAGTGCAATGTTTATGAGAAAATTGACTTTAAATATCTAATAACTGTATTTTCAACATAAAATATTTCACGAAAGCAAATTTGTTTATGTGAAGAAGTTTTAAGGCGAAACTTCAGCAGTTAGTCCGACAGAAATGAAAATTACCTATGTGTCAGATAAGACTAAAAGGGGACGATAAAATTCTGGGAAGGTAGTAATGTGGCGAAACTACCATTATAAATTCTAAACATCAATTCATTAGCATATAAGACATGCTAACTTGATTCTATCATGAGGTACCTTCTGATAAATGAAGGGTGGCATGGTCGATTTAAATGCCAGTTTGAATAAAGGAACGACTAGTGTAACCAATTTTCATATCGGAACAATTGGTGCGACAAACTGTTGTCACCAGTGTAACCAGTGATATTATTGGAACGTGACCTAAGTGTTTTAAAAAGTTGGGTTGAAAATATTTAACACAAAAATTTTATCCGTGATTATGGTAATGAATCCAATTAAATTATGTAATTTCAAAAACTAGGTAATTAGGAACTTAATTTACATCACGCCAGAGCTGTGCAACGGGCTGTTGGTGATGAAATGGTATACGTCGTTAAGGATGATCCGAAAACATTTCACGAAAATCTTGACCCTCTTCAGAGATAATGGCTCTCCCGCTTTGGTAGACCGAAGACCTGTGTGCGACTTCGAGCACTTTACAGTAGAACGGTTTAACGAGAACCGATATCACGTATCCTCGGTCCCTACGCAGGCTAACCAAAGTGGTTTCCCACCCACCTACTGACCACAGCCCCTGATGCTTGACTTAGATGTTCTAATGGGCCGCTAAATTACCAAAACTTGTTAATATATGCTTATGTTACAGTTTTTTTCTTCCTTCTCTTTCTTGCCGCGTAGAGAAAATTTCCTTTAACTGTTAATAAATTACACTCTTAGTTCTATTTCTTTCCCAGTAGAAAAGGTTATTTAACTTATAGCCAGTTATCGTCGTCTTTCTGTGGTCTGGGAGTTGGGAAATGTGAAGAAGACATTGCCATAGTTAATTTCTCTCACATTGCTATTTAGTTACTGCCTATGAATCAAGGTTTCTAGTCTCAAGAAGGATAATGAATACTACAGAAAAAAAACTTTACAGTGCAAACATAATTTCACCGATGCTATACCAATTTTTGTGATTGTTTTAAGAATTTTTCTTACTGTTCCTCTTAATATTGCTACTGGAGAACGTTTCTTTTCAAAACTGAAGCTGATAAAAATGTATTCAGATCAATGATAACTAATACCCACCTTTCATCTTTGGCATTTATTCCTTTTGAGAATGATCTATAAACTTCTTTAGATTTTTCTGTTTTAATAGATAATTTAGCTGCCCAAGAAGTTAAAAAAATTGCATTATAATTTACTTATCCATATTTGTAAGCAATTTTGTTTGTTTTTCCTTACATTTGCTATATCTTGGAGAGAAAAAATTTATTACGTGGATATATTATTTTTACGAATTATTTTTATTGATATTTATAAATCTATCTAATTTTATTTCAGTTAATGATCCTTTATATCAGAATTGTAATTTTTAAAATAATAATATGGATTTAACTTTGATGTCATAGAAATTAATTATATTAAAAATTTCAATTATTGCCCATTTGTGAGTGTGTGGATAGCAATCCCTAAGAACTGCTGCAGATAATGCCAAGAAAAATAAAAAGCAGGGTTAGCACGATTAAAAAATATTTTATTTAAAAAAACATTGGTTAATATGAATCATTGTGATTTTTTTTTAAATCATAGATTAATATAGAAAGTATTATTTGTACAGTATTGCATTATCTAATATGTATATACACAAGGCTGAGATAATGAATCACTGATATCAAATCTCATTGATAATAAATTTTTTATTCTTATTATGAGAAAATTAATTATATTTATACAGTATTGCATTATCTAATATGTAAATACATAAGACTGTGATAATAAATCACTGATATCAAATCTCATTGATAATAAATCTTTTATTCTTATAATGAGGAAATTAATTATATTTTTACAGCCTTGCATTATCTAATATGTATAGACTTAAGGCTGAGATAATAAATCCCTGATATCTAATCTCAATGATAATAAATCTTTTATTCTTATTATGAGGAAATTAATTTATACAGTATTGCATTATCTAATATGTAAATACATAAGACTGTGATAATAAATTACTGATATCAAATCTCATTGATAATAAATCTTTTATTCTTATCATGAGGAAATTAATTACATTTATACAGTATTGCATTATCTAATATGTAAATACATAAGACTGTGATAATAAATTACTGATATCAAATCTCAATGATAATAAATCTTTTATTCTTATAATGAGGAAATTAATTATATTTTTACAGCCTTG